ATAGGGCAGTGCATAGCTGAAAGGGAGAGTTAAAAGAGGGAGAGGGTGGTTGCCAGAGCTTCCCCTATCCATCCAGGTGAGCTGTAGGCTAACAGTATGTACATAAACTCAAGTTTTACTATCAAAGTCATTGATGCACAGAAATGTAAAGCTATAAGGGGTCTTCAAGATCGATACCCCTCTTTCTACAGGTAAACAAACTGAGGCTCAGAGTAGTAAAGGGACTTACCCAAGGTCACACAACTAAATTGGAAGTGGAAAATACATTAAGCACCATCTGGCAGCTTTACATCCTTCCCCTTACTCTATTTGAGGCCTCCCAGAATTGATGCTCAGCTCCAGCTACTCATCCTTGGGTCATAGATGGGATCAAAGAACTGGAAGGCCACCTGAGAGATCTTCTAATCCAACCTCCATAACTTATGAGATGAGGAAACTGAGGTAGAGAGAGGTCGAGAGACTTGTCCAAGGTCATCATGGTAGTTAGGTGACAGATCTGATTCAAACCCAGGCCATGCAAATCCACCACTAGTGTCATTTTGGGACCACCCCACATCCCAAATCATAGCACCCAGGGCAGCAACCCCAAGTGATCGTATTCTAGGGACCATTATGCCAAATAAGGCTAAAGCAGGAGGACTGCCTACTTACCTATGCAGCCTTAGGCAAGTTACTACCCTGCCCTGGGTTTCAATTTCCTCATCTGTAAAGTGAGGGGATTGGGTAGACGATCCTCTGACAAGGGGCATGAACATCTTTCTTCCTGCTTCTGGAAGCCCTGGGACTAAAACACCCCCTTGCTTTAGTCTTTCTCAAAAAAAAAAATAGAAAAAAAATAGACCCGCTCCCTGTCACTCTTCCCCACCCGCATGCACTCATTAACCTCTGGCACATCATAAGGAAAATGAATAATCAACATAAGATGCGCAGCTGTTGATTAATTTTTCTAAATAGGGGAGTGCTCTAAAGCAGCATATTGCAAGGGAGAAGATTTAATAAACAACTTTTGAAGCAAATTTAATAGAACACAGGATTCATTACCCAATGGGGTCAAAACACCGCACTGCCACTTTCTATGAGCAGGCAGACAGGAAGGAGGAGATGAGATTCGCCTCTCCTTAGCAGGACCTCGGCCCTTCTAGGAGCTCCTCTTTCAAATCAGGTTCAAGATGTTAATAGCTGATGCCCAGATCTATAATTAATGTGCCTTTGGAGCTAGAGGTAACAGTTCATAGCGATTCCCCATTCACAGAATTATGAAGCAGAACATGTTTGGCAGGCATGGTTCAGCGAGCCCTCGCCTGCCAGCTGCAGCACTAGGAAAGTGGGTTTGGGGCCAGAAGGAAGGGGTAAGTGTGGCCTTCTGCTATCTCCTCTACTTCCCCCACAAAAAAAAAAAAAATTCCAGGCCTGAGCTGGGAGGCCCTCCTAGGGCCAAAGTGGGACAGAAGTATCTGAATGAATGTGCTGCAAAGAATGGGCCATTTCCCCAAGGGCGGGGATGCTGAGAGCAGCCAGCAGCAGGAACAAAATGGGGGTTATTCCAAAGTTTGGTTAAATTTTGAGTTTTGTGGAGAAACACTGTGGGGTAAGAGGAGGAGGACTTAGCTGGGAGACAGGAGAGCTTGGGGTCTGGTCCTGCTCTGCCCCTCAGAAGCTGGGGGACCTTGGGTAAGTCATTGGTGGTCTCTAGGCCTCGATTTTCTCATTTGTAAAATGAAGGGGTTGGACCAGATTTACCATGCTGCCCTCGAGGTCTCAATCATGTAGCCAGAGCCACCTCTATTTAAAGGTAAGCAGTAGGATCTAGGGATGCCTTGAAGAAGACTGTTCTCACACCTCTCCACCCTCAGAACCCCCCAAATATTTACTGCAGCATCCTACTTCAGTACTAGAAATTCCCACAGTTACTCTTTCCTTTAAGCCTTCTCCAGAAGTCTTCCACTAAAATATGGATATTACCTGGGATGAATAACACCTCAGGGCTCCTCTCTCATTCCCCCCATCTCCCCTCTCTATCCTGGAAGGAGCCCTGGATCTGGAGTTGAGAAGACTTGGAATCAAATTTCAGCTCTTCCATGAAACACCTGGGTCACATTAGGCCAGTCATTTCCCCTTCTCTGGGACTCAGTCTGTTCATCTGTAAAAGGAAAGGGTTGAACCAGGGGGTCTGATCATTTTTCTAGCTCCAATACGATGCTCTTTTCTGAAAAGCCAGGTCAGATAATGTGTTTGGCAGTATTTGGTGAGCAAATACTCTATCCTGCTGGCACTGGCAGAGAACAGAATTTTGAGAAGACACAGAATGGGCAGGCTTTGGTTTGGGGAAGAGGAAAAGAGTTCTGGGGTATGTGGTGCTCTTTGGGGAAGGCAGACCTCATTAGGAGAGCAGCAGAAGGGCACCAAAGGTGTCTTGGGTAAAGGGTGACATTTTACCTCTGATCCAAGATCATCTCACCAAGTTCATGGGCAGCATGTAAGGACATGGATTCAGGAAGACCTGGGGTCAAATCTCGCCTCTGACATTTACTAGTTTGTGTGACCTTGGATAAGTCATATAACTTATTACCCCAGACAAATCTCTAAGACTCTAAATCTCAGGTTAAGTCCCTATATTCACGGGTAAAGGAAATTCTTCATCTAGAGTTCCATACACCAGTGGAGTTACAGATTTGGTTTAAAACCTCTTTGAGCCTCTTCTGTAAAATGGGTATAATAACATCTACCTCGGTTTCCTCATCTACAAAATGGAATAAAAACAGTACCCTACTTATAGGCCTGTTGTAAGGGTCAAATAACATTACCTGTGTGATATTCAGCAAATCATTTAGCTTCCCTGGGCCTCAGTTTCCTCATCTGTAAGATGAGGGGGCTGGAACTAGAGCTATGATTTTGTGAAATTGAGGAAGACCGTGGATGTAAATTGATTTCAAAGCTTAATTACTGTTATTGTGGTGGTGATGGTTCAGGTGTTTTCAGTCATGTCTGACTCTTTGTGACCCCATTTGGAGTTTTCTTGGCAAAGTTACTGGAGTGGTTTGCCATTTCCTTCTCCAGCTCATTTTGCAGATAAGGAAACTGAGGCAAACAAGGTTAAGTGACTTGCCCAGGGTCACACAGCTAGTGAGTGTCTGAGGGCAGATGTGAACTCAGGAAGATGACTCCAGGCCTGGCACTCTGTCTACTGCATCACCTAGCTACTGTCCCATGAACTAACATTGTAAGAAGTGGGTGCATCTCCTTTCACATGAAGGACAGAGTCCCCTTCCCTCTATTAGGGAGCCCCAGTGAAGTGGGTGGAAATGAGAAGCCTGAGGGCAAGGCCTTGGGAGATTTCCCCTTCATTGGGATGTAGGCCTTTCAAAATAGTTTGAGGAAAGAAAGGCACAGAGAGGAAGCACATCTCACCCATCCTGTAGCTACTCAAGACCTCAGAGAAGGAGGGCTGAGCTAAGGACCCCATCCCCACCCCAGCACACCCATGATCACCTAGTTTGGGAGGGGCAGAGCTGGGACTGTACCCCAGATGCTTCAGACTGCTGGTTTAGTCCTCTTTTTAAAACCCCGAGGTTCCTCTCTATGAATACTCCATGTCCTGAACGTTCATGTTGACTGTCAGTCACTCAAAAATGTTACAGATGTTTGTAATTAATCAGTCTTCAGCTAGAAGGGACGTGAGACGTGATCCATTTCAATGCCTCTGTTTCTTCAGCTGTAAAATAAGGGGGTTGGACTCACTGGCTTCTAGGATCCCTTCCAACTTTAAAGCTACGATCCTGTGATCACTTCATCTGAAACTGAGATTTAGGGGGTTAAGTGACTTACCCTAGGTCAGGCGAGTAAACATCAGAGACACCAAGTCACACAAAAAATATTCACAGAGACAAGCATGTGTTTGCCCCAACACCTGCCCCTAGCAAATGCACCGAGAACTTTATGTTGTTCCCTAAATTGAGAAGCAGAACGCTGCTGGATAAGGTTGAAAGCCAGACGACCCAGGGTCTTGGCATGGCTCCACTGCAAACCAGCTGCGTGACCTCGAGCAAGTGGCTTAACCTCTCTGTGCCTCAGTACCCCATGTGAAAAATAACAAGTTGACCTCACAGGGCTGTCATGAGGATTGAGTGAGACAAGATGATGTGAGAGTGCTTACCATGCATTGCCGAGGGGAGGGGTTATTGATCACTTGCTATGAGAGAGCAGTGAGGCGGGTCACCCTTCAGGGTGCTTGCTGGTGGGTAGATTCATATTTGGAGCAGTCTTCTGAAGCCGCTCACCCTCCGTGGCTCCCTCAGAACTCCCGGGTGAGCCAGCCCTAATGGCCAGAGCTGGGAAACTCTCATGAGTTTGGAGATAAACGTCCCTACCAGCCAAAACTTTGAAGAGAAAACTAGAAACGGTAGAAGGGATCTGCATCAGAGCGGAGGCCCTGCGTGCCCTGGATAGGTTTTTATGGGTTATTTATAACCCTGGGAAAATAAGGATTTCCTAGGTAATGAGGGAGGTGACAGACTGGCTGGGGGCCAAGCTGCAACAGGCTGCCTGGTGGTGGGAAGAAAGGGCAGAGGAGAGGGGGGATGCCCCCAAATGAACACAATACTATGAATACAGCATGATGCCGACAGAGCGCTGTGGGAATACTGCCTCCCTTGTTCTGGATATTGTAGTCTCAAGAAAGGTCTTGCCTTATCAACTAATATTTGTTTTCTGAAGTTCACATGCAGAGTAGAAGGTCCTCCTCTCCCACAGCTGGCCAGGTCTGTGCCCAGGTCTGTGCCCAGGTCAAGGTCACAGGGCCAGAGGCCCCTCTTGTTCCTTGGCCCATTCAGGAAGGCCAACAGGGCACCATCTTCCCTAAGCCCTTGTCATAGGTGTCTCTGAAGAGCTGCAGAGCTGTTGACTAGGAATCCTGGCTCCCTGGCTATACCCTGACCATGCCCAGCAAGGGTACAGTGTAAGATGCGGGAACCTGACCCCTGCCCTTGGTTCTCATTCCACAGGGTGAAGTCTGTGCTATGCCCTGTGCATCCGGGACATATGGCCCCAACTGTTCATCTGTCTGCACTTGCAAGAATGAGGGTACCTGTTCCCCCATAGATGGCACCTGTACCTGTAAGGAAGGTAATGCACCCTCACCACCCTCACCTGCCTCACAAGCGCTTCTGGGCCGGCCTTGGGCTGCCTTCAGCCAACTCTTTGGTATTCGTGAAGCATGATATAGTGGTGGGAGCCCCTGGGTTTGGGAACAAAAGACCTGGGTTCATATCCCAGCACAGTGGATGGAGTACCAGGCTTGGAGTCAGGAAGACCTGAATTCAAATCCAGCCTTTGTGATCTTGGGCAAGTCACTTAACCTGTTTGCCCCAGTTTCCTCATCTGTAAAATGGGATAAAAATAGCACCTCTCCTCCCAGGGTCATTATGAGAATCAAATAAGATAATACTTGTAAGGCACTTAGCAGGTACCATATACATGTTAGCTCTTATTATTATTATTGTTATCCCAGCTCTTCCACTTACTATCTGTGTAACCTTGAACAAGTTAGGTCCCTTCTTTATGCTATAAATCACTTGTTTTATTATCCAAGGTCCATTTGTCCCAAGACTCAATCCTATGAAACCTATGAGTGATTCCATGTCACCCCTATGCTCCCGCCCATCCATGCCATGCCAAGGAGCCTTCCTAATTACAGATACAAACAAGCAATTGTCCCTACCAATGAAATGCTCTCACCCCACTGTCTAGGCCCAAAGGCCTGAGCCAGGACTAGAGGGTGGGGAATAGAAACACCTGCTTAGAAGATAACCTGGAGTGGAATATAAGAGACTCCTTTTTATGTGATCTTTTTAATATACAAATGGCACATAGCTTTACATTTTGTGATGTCATTAAATGTCCCAAGTACATTTCAAAGCCTCCAGGGAACAGACAGTAACACTAATTTTCAAATCCTGCTTAAGGCCTGCAAATACCTTAGCCCAACTATGTCTTCTACGTCTGTTAGTACTTTCATCTCCAAAGTCATTTCACTTCTAAGCCTCAGTTTACTTCTCTGTCAAATGAGGGGTACCTCTAAGATCCCTTTCAGCTCTAAATCAAGGGATGTATGGCCCAGGACCAGCTCTACCCCTGATATATCACATGACCTTGAGCAAATCTCTCTGGGCCTCTGTTTCCCAAACTGTCGAACAGAAATAATAATTGTTTCCAGACTACCTCCCAAGGATGACCTGAAAATCTAAAAATCATAGAAATAAAAATGCACTAAAAAGTTCACGGTGCTGCAACAGCATTTTCCAAACAGTAGTCTGAAAATGTATTCCAAATACTAGCATGCAAGGCAATCATATGATGCTAGTATTCTTGACAGTAGCTCCCACTGATACAAGCCTCGTAAGGTTGGGAGTGCATCTCTCTGGATCTTCACAATTCCCCTCTGGGGTAGGTGCTATTAAAATACCCCCATTTTGCAGCTGAGGAAACTGAAGCAGGTGAAAGTGACTTGCCTGTTAGTCTCCAAGGACAGATCTGAACCCAGCTCCACACCCTGCAGTCTCTTCCTTCTGCCATGTTGCGTGGGTTCTGCAAGGAAAGGTTTGGAAGGCTTTGTGATGTGAGCCCCAGAGCAGGAAGCATCCATTCAAAGCAGGAGGGTTTTGCTCTCCAGCCTCTATCATATCTATGACAATGGAGCATGAACTCTGACACGCTCGATTAAACCAGAAAGACTTAAGTTCAGAGATTCATCATCAAAGGCTGACTCCTAGGCCAAGTGAATGTTTAGGCAAAGGTGATCCCATGAGAATGGATTGATAACTACACAGGGGGAGGGTGGGGCTGGGTCACAGGAGACGTGCTGCATCAAGCCTTGCCAGGTCTTGATGACTAACTCAGTCTCCCTCCCTTCAGGGTGGCAGGGGATCGACTGCTCCCTCCCATGCTCTGCGGGCACCTGGGGCCTGGACTGCAATGAGACATGCACCTGCTCCAATGGGGCAGGCTGTAGCCCTATTGATGGTACCTGTTCCTGTTCACCTGGCTGGCTAGGGGATACCTGTGAACAGCCCTGCCCGGTGAGTGGCCTAGGGTACAGTGGGTTGGGAGAAGCATCTTGATTGGGGGGTTGGGTCTCTGAGGAGAGTGAGCTTCTGGAGGGCAGGGACCATTTCTTATTTACATTTGTATCTCCCCTACTACCTAACACACAGTGTCTTGCATGTCTGCCATGTTGGTGTGTATATTGGCCATCCCAGAGCATAGGGGAACACTCCTACAATGGGATTTCTTTGAAAGAAAAAAGTATGATTATAATGCCAATTATAGGTTGTATGCAGATTTTACACAGGCCAGATTCAGAGGGAAAGTACAGGCAGGTATGAGGCAAATGTATGTTGAATGAATGTCAGTATTCACTTGGTCTTGTTTTTCCCTGGTCTTTCTCAGGACGGAACGTATGGGCTGAACTGTAGCGAGCACTGTGACTGCAGCCACGCAGATGGCTGCAGCCCCGTCACAGGCCACTGCTGCTGCCTGGCGGGCTGGACTGGTAAATCCCCTTGCCCCCTCCACCAGGGAATGGAGCTTCCTGGTTGAGGTTTTACTGGGTTACTTACTTTGTCTGCCTGTAATTACCTCGACCTTTCCAGGATTTGGCTACGCTCTAGGGTGCAGCAACTTGCTGGGTTCAAATCACATGCTGTGTGACATAAAACAAGTCACTCACCCCCTCTGGACCCTGACTCAAAGGCTGGTCCACTCTGTGAGAAAGGCAGGGCTTTTTCCTTGCCTTCTTACCATTCTGAGTCCACAGATTTTGTTCCTGGGTCTGTTTTGGGGCAGGCTCTTGCCCAGGCCACGTGGCAGGTGGGGAGTCTGGCTGCTGAGTCCCATGAGCGTGGCCATGAGGTCACTGTTTGGCCACGCACGAGAGACTTCATCTTTCTAGGCCTCGATCTGCACCTCTGTAAAAGAGGGATAAATAACAATACTGGTACTACCAACCTCCCAGGACGGTGAGGAAAGTCCTTTGTAAGTGGTATTATTTACCATTGTGATTTGGGAGATGGAAGGAGTGAGTGTGAGGAGGAGGAAGGAGCACAGTCCTGATAAAGCATGAGAATATATAGGCTTAGCCCTGGCATTAGGCACCTGTGGATTAGATAGGAATATAGGTTTAGAACTGGGAAGGGCCTTAACAATCATTTAGTCCTCATTTTACAGATGAAAAAACTGAGGCCCAGAGAAGCTCCCTACCCAACCCCACCCCAGCCACCAGACTTGGCCAAGGTCACAATGATAGTAAGCAGGATCTGAATCCAGGTCAGGCCCTCCGTATTCATTCAGTATATTCCAAGGTCCCTTCCTTCTCTAACATTCTGAAATTCTAAATGACCTCAGACTGGCTATCTTATTACTGTTTACTAACCAACCCAGTAGTGCTTTCTTCCTCCCACCCTCACTCCTTAAACAAGAGACAAGAGCTATTCTGTGGTGTGGGGGATGGGGATAGGACAGTCATACAAGTTTGTCAGATTTGGGATTTTTATTCCCTGCTCTGCTATAGATGGCGGGATCAGTGAGAACAGATGCCCAGCATTGCACACACAGCCCTTGTCCATCCCAGTAACCCCATCTTCCTCCTCCAAATGCTGTCTGCTGGGTACCCACGGGTGCTGATCACTCCCCTCCTGAAGGGTCTCTTCCTCTTCGGCCCGTGCTACTCACTCTTCCATGTCTCTGCTTAGCAGACAGAAGAGGATAAATGTGGAGGTCACCATTTCCCAACAGGACCTCATTCCCAACTTATCCGCCACAGTGGTTGGACCCCTTTTAAGAGGATGAGAAACTGTAATGTATTACTCAGACCCTTCATCCCCTCTCCTCTTTGGATCAGAGAATATCAATACTTAAAAAGGGCTCTGGGGTAGTGGAAAAAGCTGGATTTGGAATCAGGAAAGATGTGGGTTCAAATGCCAACTGATGTGTGACTCTGGGCTGTAAAATCAAGATAATAATATCTATAATACCAGCATCACAGGGTGGTTGAAAAGATCCAGTAAGGATGTCTTTAAAGGGCTTTGTAAACCTTAAATGTGATATCATAATCGCCCACAAGATGGTGTGTCTGCAGAGCATTTTGTAAATCTTAACGGGCTTTACGATACTAGCTCCTGTTTACAAAACAATCCTTTCATTTGAGCCTTCTAATCACCATATTACTGTCTTCATTTTACAGATGATGAAAACTGAGGCTCAGAGGTTAAGAGATTTGTCCAAAAGTCATAGAGCAAATAGAGTCTGAGACAGCATTTGAATCCAGGTCTTCCAGATACCTTGTCCCACACTCTGTCCATAGTCGGCCTCATATAAGTGGGCAGCTAGGTGGCACCATAGTGCACAGAGCACTGGGCCTGGAGTCAGGAAAACCTGAATTCGATTGTGGTGGTTTGCCTCAGTTTCTTCATCTGCAAAATGGGGATAATAATGGCACCCACCTCATGGGGTTGTCATGAGGATCAAATGAGATAATAATTGTAAAGCATTTAGCACAGTGCCTGGCACATAGTAAACACTATATAAATGTTAATTGCTATTATTATTATTATTATTATTACTATCATTATTATTATTATTATTATTATTATTATTATTAAGTGTCAGCAATTGGAAAGTGAAGTCAGGAGAGGAGGAGTGACCGAGCCCAAGGTCTTTCAGCTAGTGAGCAGATGAAATGACATTTAAACCCAGGTCCCTTCCCTCTCCTTCATGTATTTTTGGACAAATATGATCTCTGCCCTCCCCTCAAGTGACAGACATAAAGAGACCAGAACATAACATGGTATCCAAGTTGCCAGGAAGCCAGCGCAGCCTGCCCCGTGACCCTCTCGCCGTCTTGGCTGACAGCCCTCATTCTTGCTTCTCAGATGAATAATTCAGGGCTACGATTACTCCGAAGTCTCACATTCGCTACAACTGGGAAGTTTCAGGGCAGCTTGGGGGTGGAACTTCCATAGCTGCTCCAGCCCTGGCCTTCTGTCCCACAAGTCAGTCCTTTTCTACAAAATTAGACATAGCAACCAATAGGCCTCCCTCCCAGATGTATCTCTGGGGCTGACTGGAAATTGACTTTAATTTTTCATTGACTTAATTTCAGGCAAGCTGATAAGATTTTAATGATGTTCGATACTTAAAAATTCTTTCTTTGACAGGCAACCTTTCAGCAAGGCCCCCACTGCTCCAAAGCTAATTTGCCCAAATGTGAATTATGAAGTCATATCAAAGACCCTATTGATGTCCTGCCATTCATTACCATGGTTGCCAGGCCACGAGAGATTCCAAGAAGGGCAGAGGTCAGAAAAAGGAACTAAGTCCAAAGTCAACTAAGCTCTTGACATCAGGCATTTCCTCCCCTCTCCCAAAAGTCAAACTCCCCACTTCGCACCAAAGGAAGTTGGCTTCTAAACTGGGAAGAGATTCAGAATTCATCCAGTCAGTCCCCCAGTTCTTTTTACAAGAAACTGAGCCCCAAAAAGAGCAAGCTAGCCAAAGTCTCAGGTGGTTTTGCCTGGGCCAACGTGGGAAGGAACATGCAAGGAAGCATCCTCAAGGAATAATTAATCAGTAAGCCAATTTATAAAAATCCTTATTAAGCTCCTTCTGTCCACTAGGCCCTGGCCTAGGCACAATGCAGGATAAAAAGAAAGCCAAGCTACAGTCCCTGCCCTTAGTGAATTTACAGACTAACTTCAGAGCTAAAACTGCATGTGGAAGTAAAAACAAACAAAAGGCCCCTAAGTACTAAAGGGCATGATACTGATTATACAGCATACCTCGCTTTCTTACGCTTTGCTTTATTGCGCTTTGCAGATACTCGTTTTTACAAATTGCATCAAGCAAGTCCATCGGTGCCATTTTTCCAATAGCATTTGCTCACACTGTGTCTCTGTGTCACTTTTTGGTAATTCTCGCAATATTTCAAACTTGTTCATTATTATCATATCTCTTATGATCATCTGTGATCAGTAATCTTTAATGTTACTATTATAACTGTTTTGGGGCACCATGAACCGTGTCCATATAAGATGGCAAGCTTAATCGATAAATGTTGTGTGGGTTCTGACTGCTCCACCAACTGGCTGTTCCCCATTTCTCTCCCTCTTCTTGGGCTTCCTTATTCCCTGAGACACCACAATATTGAAATTAGGCCAATTAATAACCCTACAGTGGCTTTTAAGTGTTCAAGTAAAAGGAAGAGGTAATCAATGTGGCAAACTTTCTTATTGTCTTATTTTAAGAAACTGCCACAGCCACTCCAGCCTTCAGCACCCACCACCCTGATCAGTCAGCAGCCATCAACATGGGGGTAAGACCTTCCACCTGCAAAAAGATTATGGTTTGCTAAAGGCTCAGATGACAGCATTTTTTTTTAGCAATGAAGTATTTTTAATTAAAGAATGTACATTGCTTTTTTAGACATAATACTATTGCACACTTAATAGACTACAGAATAGTGTAAACATGACTGGGAAACAAAAAAATTCGTGGGACTTGTTTTATTGTGATATTCACTTTATGGCAGTGGTTTAGAACTGAACCCACACTATCTCTGAGGTATGCCTGTAAATCTAAAAGGAGTTTAAAGAACAAAGAGGTGAATGTAGTCTGTAATGGTCAGAGGAAGTTTCATGAAAAGGTAGTCCTTGCCCTGTCCCCCCTCCCCACCCCATTTTAGCCAGAGTTGTGATTCCATTAGTATAGGAAGTTATGGGTGAAGAATTTCCTTTACTGGTGCAGCTAGGAGCCTTTTTTGCAACATAGAGTCCTTAAAGGATTGCCTGAGAGGCTAACTGACTTGCCCAAAATCACACAGCAAGTAGTGCTGGAGGCAGAATTTGAACCCAGGTCTTCCTGATTCTAAGACCAGCTTTTTAACCACTATGCCTTGCTTCTTCTTGGAAGGATGAATGGTATTTGGAGTAAATAAAGAGAGAGCTTTTCTGGGATCAGACTGTGCTCACAAACCTGTGGGGAACGAAACCGTGGCTTTTCATGTCCTGGTTTAGAAGGGATATTCTCCAGGCATGATACTGAACCTCTCAGTGATCTTAGAGCAGACAGGGTAGATGCCCAAACAACTGGGTTCTGAATGTAGTGTGGCTAGGGGTGTATTGGAGCCAGCTCTAACACAAACTGATTGTTAAATTTTCAGTGTAAATGTCTCCACCTCAAAAATTGGTATTACTACAAATCAGGCCTTGATTTATAGTTTTATTATCTAGACTTTTTAAAAGGGCAGCTGGGTGACCTAGTAGACAGAGTGCCAGGCCTGAAGTCAGGAAGACCTGAGTTCAAATATGACCTCAGATACTTACTAGCTGCGTGTCCCTAAGCAAGTCACTTAACATTGTTTCCTAAAATGAGCTGGAGAAGGAAATGGCAAAGCACTCCAGTATCTTTGCCAAGAAAACCTCAAATGGGTCACAAAGAGTCATACCTAACTAAACAACAAAAACATTTAAAAGTGTTAATAATGCAGATTAAACTTAAATAGTTTAAATAAATTAAACTTAGAAGTGTGTGCATACATTTCCCCCTTCCCTCCCAGATCTTGGTTGTTAAACATTTCCCAGGGTACCCCTGCATTGCTCTATAAACATCGTTTGAGCTCAGTAGGAAGACAGTAGAAAGCTCAGGGATTGACTTCATCACCAGGCTGAAGACCTGGTGACTTTAGGCAAATAATAATTAAAATAATAAAAATAATCATATGTTGTTGGTGATCGTTTCAGTCATGTCTGACCCTTCATGACCCCATTTGGGATATTCTTGGCAAGGATGCTAGAATGGTTTGCCATTTCCTTCTCTAGTTCATTTTACAGATGAGGAAACTGAGGCACACAGGCTTAAATGACTTGCCCAAGGTCACATAGCTAGTGAGTGTCTGAGGTCACATTTGAACTCGGGTCCTCTTGATTCCAGGACAAGCACTCTCTCCATAGCACCACCTTGATGCCCCATAATTATAATAACTGGCATTTATATAGCACATTAATATTTACAAAGTGCTTTATACCCATTATCTTAAATGAGTCTCACATCACCCTTGAGTGTGGGGCTGTGTTACTGTTAGCCTGATAGCTGAGGAACTTCTGAGTCTGCCAAGTAGCATGACAACAAGGACCACATTTCCCCAGCCTGCCACCTATCCACACGATGCTCTGTTTAATGCCCAGACTTGTAGAGCCTCTGGAATGGAATAGCAGATGCTCACAGGTTTGAACACACCCTCATCCTGCCCTCTGCTTCCATTTCATTCAAACTCCCTCCAACCTGGACCCACCTCAACTTTTCTCACCCCTATTATGACCAGGAATGATGGAAAGAAGAAATGCTCGCACCAGTTCAGGTCTTGGCTCTCTGCCTGACCCTGAAGAAGTCATTTAAACACTCTGGGCTTCAGTTTCCTCAACCATAAGATGAGGAGAGGGGACATGTGTGGCTCTAGGATCTTGTGATTTTTCCCTTGCCCTCACTTCTCCATAAATCTTCCTGTACTAACGACTGCATTCCCCTATTGTGACAAGATCATCTGTTTCCTCCTCACCTCTAGGTGTCCGCTGTGATAGCACGTGTCCCCCAGGTCACTGGGGCCCCAACTGTTCCATCTCCTGTAGCTGTGAAAATGGCGGCTCCTGTTCCCCAGAAGATGGGACTTGCGAGTGTGCACCAGGCTACAGGGGGCCCCTGTGCCAAAGAAGTAAGGATGGTCCCCTCTCTCCCGCTCATCCTTTCTTTCCCAGGTTCTCCACCTCTTGAGAGTCTCCCTGTCTCCTAGTCAGAGGGTACTAATTTTTAAATGATTTTAATTTCAAATTTAATTACAAATGTCTATTTTATCTCCCTCCCGACCCCTGGTAACAAAGTTTCAGTCAAGCAAAACAAATGTCCTCCTTGGCTGGTGTCCTAAAATGTAGGTCTCATTCTACATTTTGAATCTGTTCTCTCTGGATGTGGGTCCATTACTTCATCTGTTAATAATGGCTGGTCACTGCATTGATAGGGGTCATTAGGTCTTTCAAAGCTATTTGTCTTTACAGTGCTGTTACTGTATAAATTCTTCACTTTGTTCTGCATCAGTTCTTATAAGTCTTCCCAGGTTTTGTCATTTCTCATGACACAATAGTATTCCATTACGTTCACATACCATCACAGGTCCAGCCATTCCCCAGTTGACGGGCCACCTCCACACCTTCCAGTTCTTTGCCATGACGTACTACAAAGCAATCTCACACGCATTCTCCATTACTTTTCCAGTGTATCCCTGGAGCTGGTGCCCAGAAAGCATCCCCTCTTCAGAGAGGCCTTAAGGGCCCAGAGGGTCATTCTTAAGAGCTTTAGTTCCAAGTAGGGTTCCATTTGTAGGGCCCTTCTGGAAGTTTCATTGCTTTCTCCTCTTCTCTCTTCCTGTCATCCCTCCTATGAATTTCAAAAGAGGGCACTCTAGGGTCACTAATGGAAAGGAACTAAATAATAAACCCTCTCTCTGGACAAAGTGACCCTGTTTACCTAAGCTCCAGATAGGAGGTGGGAGATCAGGTCTCCCCAGACACCAACACCCTGCACCTCAACTCCCTTAGTTCTTCTTCTCATCACCCTTGTCATGGCAGTGGGGATGTGAAGGTTGGGGAGAAAAGGAAGAGCAGAGGGCACTGGAGGCTTAGCGCAGTTCCTGGCACATAGTAGGTGCTTAAGAAATGCTCGTTGACTCAACTGAATGCAGTCATTTAGGAGTGTCAAGTGAGTCTTTGATCCCCTTTCCCACTAACTGCCATCTCTTGGTCACCATTCAGTCTGCCCCCCTGGCTTCTATGGTCACAGCTGCAACCAGCCTTGCCCACTCTGTGTGCACAGCAGTGGACCCTGCCACCATGTCACTGGCCACTGTGACTGTCTCCCTGGATTCTCCGGTTCCCTCTGCAACCAAGGTACCAAAATTGTGGGGAGGAAACACAGTGGGGGGGAAGTGAAGTTGGGGCCTGGGCAGAAACGGGAAGGGTCTAAAGCATGGCTAGGGCTTTGGAATAATGGATGTAGGTCTTTATTTTGTACATGACCTCCAGGGAGCACTTTGGAGACATCACAGAAGGAGCCGGATTTGGGGTCACTGGATCATACAGCTAGAAGGAACCTTTGAGGTCACTTAATCCAGTCTCTCACTTTACAAGTGAGGAAACTGAAAATAGGTCTAGGCCCCCTCATTTTACTCTTGCTCTTCCTTCTCTCCGCCCCCCCCCCTGAAATTCACATTCTGCATATAGACCCCATCCAATTCCCACCAGGCTACACCACAAATAAGGTGATTGGACTTCCCTAGATGACCATTAAGGTCCCTTCCAGGTCTGAATCTCATGATCCCTTTATCCCTCAGGACCTCTGGTTACCCTTTCCTCAAATGGGCACATGATTTAAAGAGATTTCCAATGCAAGGAGCCCTTTCTATTCAGGCAAAAATTCCTAAACACTTGCGTCCTTTTATTGACACAGTTGAGAATATTGAGACAGAAAGAGCAAAACCTAGGCAAGCAATCACTAACAACTGAGCAGTAACTGAATATATTATTGTTAGCAAATATTTTTAAGTACCTTCTCTGTGGAGGGGGTCACTGACCTCAAGGAACTCATTTTATAGACGAGGAAGGAAGTGACTTGCCCAAGGCCATTTGTTCTGGTTTGCTATTCAGCTCTTCATATGTTTTTGTGTAGTCTTCCCAAGTATAAGGGGGTAGGGACAGACTAGGTCCTTCCAGACTGAAATCCTGTTTCAGGTCATCTAATCCAATTTCCCACCCATTGAGAAATCTTTTCCACCACATCTCAGGCAAATACTCTCAGCAATGGGAAGCTCATTACCTCCTGGGTCAGCCTACTCTATTCATGGGTAGAGAGCCATGAGCTGATTCATTCATTCAAAGTGTGTGGTCTCTTAACATGCATGAGTGGAAAGTTCCCCTCTTCATACTTCGAGGGGCTTGTGAAGTATGAGCCCCCAGGGAGTTACCATGTCACAATTTCATGAGCCCCCGACTTTCCAGGATGACTTAATCATAAGCTGACATTCAGAAGCTTAGTTATTAAACATCAGAGATTTGACAGTCGATACAGATAGGCTGGGTCTAAATTAGGTCCTAAACAGCCCGGGAAGCGTCTCTAGGATCATGCACCATCTGATTTATTGCCCCTCGCTCTAATGAGTATTTTCTACATCTAGATTTAATAGAGTTTACTATTAATGGCAACTGCCCTGGTTAAGTCTCTAACCTTGTAAAAAATTGAACTGACACTTTTTAATGACCTGCTTTCCAGGGGATTACAAATTACAGATAGTGCTTAGGCAAAATCATTCAACATAGATTAAAGATAACTAAATATTTTCTTCCTCCTCCAAAGCACCTCCCTTCCCTCAACTTCCTCTTTACTCAAGCAGTTTACTAATTAATGTATTGGACCAACTGTAGCACAGAGTCTTTGAACATGTCTCTCTCATGTTAGGAAGATTTCAAAGCATGGAGCAGAACTAATTGTTTTATTAAGAAAGTGGAGTGTTGAATTGGGGAACAGGACACCTCTAATCTTTGTACTCCTTGGAGTAGAGGGCAAGATGGGTTTCTGAAATCCATTTCCAAATGCAATAGAGGAAGCAAAAGGAAAGGGGGATTGGACCAAGCCATGTAGCCATGGCTTAATTTGGTAGGAAATGAAGAGGCAGAGGCTGAATAATGAACGTGGGCCATACCCAAGCTCTTGCCCACAGGTCAAGCCCCAAGGCGGGTGCCAAGGCCTTTGTGAGGAAGGAGCATTGATCACAGAATCCTGGGATCTTAGAGCTGAAAGGACCTACAGGTCATCTAGCCTGACTTGCCTTTACTGTAGAAATCTTTCCTGATTCCTACTTCTAATCAGTCATTGGACTGATTTACTCAATTTACTGTACCAATCATGTGGTTCAGTTTGTTTTGTTTTGTTTTTTAAGAGAAAAGTGTGCCTAGGCCTGGAACTCAGCAAATTAGTGTAGTTTGCTTTAGTCTGGGCTTCATGGTTTGGTTCTGTTAAGAAGAAGCACGGTATGGATGGAAAGGATTGCTGGGGCAAAAGACCTAGGTTCTTTTCCCAGCTCTGCCATTTACTTGCTGTATGTCCTTGAGCAAGCTACTTGATCTCTGTGGGCCTCATCTGTGAAATGAAGAGTTGGTCTAGCTAAATCCTTCCAGCTTCAAAATTCAGTGATTCTACCTATCTCTGAAGGGAAGGCACTAAGGGGATTGGGCAACAGATAGGACCGTGCTAATAACTAACCTCTCTTGCCCTCCCATGGGAGGTCAGGCTGGGTTTTTGTTTCTTTCCAACAGTACCCACAGTCAGAGGGACTCCATCTGCTCTGGGGTTTCCTGAGCTATGTATGGAAAGGCCAGAGCAGATCAACGAATCACCATGTTATGGAGCCCCAAGGGAAAGGAGAAAGGGAAGAGGGGAAGAGTAGAGGTCACTGACATAGGAAGTGGGTATGAGAAATTACTAACTCTAAGGCAGGACCCAGCTGGGATGGTAGGAAAGTTGCTTCCTCAATCTGAACCTCAATAATCCCTGTGTATTCAAAAACTCTAGGTTTCATCCTTCTCTACCAGGCACTGGGAACCCAATCAATTAATCAATCAATCAATAAACATCCATTAAGTGCCTTCTAAGTGCCAGGCACTGTGCTAAGCATTGGGAATACAAAAAGAGGCAAAAAATAGGCCTTGTCCTCAACCGAGTTTACAACCTGATCCAGCAAGGGCCGGGAATTGGGGTAGGGAGGAGGTTGGGGCCCACAGACCAGTCTCACTATATGTCTGTCTTTCTGTGGCCATACCTTCTGCTCAGCCAAATCCCTGCTTGCCCTGTCCTTGTGCCAGCCCATGACAGATATTCATCATATTTAGAACTGGAAGAACCTTTGAGATCATCTATTCTAGTCCTCTCATTTTATTCATGAAGAAACTAAGGTAAAAGTGACTTTCCCAAGGTTATATAGGGATTAAGTGGCAGGGTCAGGACTTGACCTAGGTCTTCTGATTTCAGGTCTCAAGCTGTATTATACCATGTCTCCTCCACCCATCTTTGGTTAGGCAGAGGCAAGATAGCCAGGACCAGTCATTCAGAGGACATCAGTTAGCCTAACTCTGAGCTCTCCATATTTGATTTATTCTGGGCCAAGAACACCCAGCTTTCTCACTCTGTCTTACTTAGCCTCACCTAATTTGTTGATCTTGTATCGTAAAAAATGTACCTTGTATCTTACATATATTTTCCACATATTTGCTTAGATAAATGGTTATTTCCCTGTTAGAATGTCAGTTTTTTGAGGGCAGAGACTGTTTTGTTTTTCTTTGTATCCCCAGCACCAGCACAGTGCCTGACATATAGTAGGTACTAATAAATGCTTGTTCATTGATTCATTGATTGATGGCTACAATGAATTAACCAATGATTATTTTGATGGATGTGAAGAACAGTGATGGCAGGGTGGGGACAGTAGTGGTGGCACTGATGAATATGATGGTGATAGGAATGGGGAAAATGCTTCTTTACTCTCAACAAGGTCCTTGGGGAAGAAAAAGGGGGGTGTGTTGGGCAAGGAGGTCAGGAAGATAATGTTTATGGTCTGGTCATCATGGGAGGCTGAATTTTATGAGGCTTTTGGGCCTTGGCTAGGAGTAGGGTGAGGCAAGATTCTGTGTGCCTCTGCAGTGTGTGCTGGAGGAAGATTTGGGAAGGACTGTGCTCAGCACTGCTCATGCTCCAACAATGGAACCTGCAGTCCTATTGATGGCTCCTGCCAATGCTTCCCTGGCTGGATTGGCAAGGACTGTACACAAGGTAAGCAGGCCTGGGCTCCTCTTCTTCCCCATTTAGCCATGACATATTGGGCCCCATCCAATAAGCCTCAATCCATTGCCCTACTGCCCCCAAAGGCCTACCTTTCTGCCATAACCCGAAATTTCCTTTTGGAGACATATTCATCTTGCCTAAGTGGAGGTATCTTCTTACCTAGGTTTATCTCATGAATACAAACCCATCACCACCTGTTGTAGCCAGTATCCCCTGAGTTGGGAGCTGGAAGCAGGGTCCTGCACTGGGGGAATGGAATGGGCACACTTAGAGGTAGTCATGGAGAACACCAAGCATACAGCCAAACCAGAGGGAAAGTAGAAGGGCTTCCTCTGGGATGGAGGGCTGTCTCCAACAGTCAGTCATTCCATTGTTAGCATCATAGGATATGAAGCAGAGAGGGACCCAGTATCTCATCTTGTCTACCTCATTTCATTTCACAAATGAAGAAAGTGAGGCCCAGTGATTTGCACAAGGTCACAGTGAGAGTGAGATAGGATTTGAACCCAGGTCCCCCATATGAAAAGCTTCCCCTCCCCTCAAGGCCCACTAGGCCATTGTTAGAACAGATGTGCTGGGTCCATCTTCAAGGAGACATACTCTGATGGGGAAACAAAGTCCCTGCCTGGAGTAAGTTCCCTAATAGGGTGGGGGTCAGGGGAAAGTCAGTGCTCAAACACACAGAAACCACACAAGAGCACATACGCTATTTATAGAACATCCAAGGAAGGAGAGTACGTGTGTACAGAGAATGAGTACTCAGTGACTTCATAAGCAACCAAGGGATGAGGAATAGAGTACATGCAAAATGGGATGGCATTCATCTCAGAAGCTTTCTGGGAGGAGGAGAATTTTTGGAGCTAGGATTTAAAGGAGATGGTGTGGCTTGGCAGAAAGGCAAGGGGAAGGTATTCTGGGTACAGATTAGCTTCCCTGGGTTGTGGGGCCATGCTGTGGAAGAACTGAAGATGTGAGACTATGGAGGCTAGGTTAGCCCATTATGTCCTTGTGTCTGATGGGATTCTCTCCTCCTTTCCCTCTCCTCTATCTCCCCCATCCTCATTCTTTCTCACATTCTCACCTCCTCCCTCCTGTGTCTTTTCTACAGCCTGCCCACCAGGATTCTGGGGCCCTGCCTGCTTCCACACCTGCAACTGTCACAATGGGGCTGGGTGCAGTGCAGATGATGGGGCCTGTCGATGTGCCCCAGGCTGGACAGGGCTCTTCTGCACACAGCGTAAGCTCTGGCCTGCCTCTTGGAATCACATGCTGCACTCTGCTGGACAGAGCAGGGTGTCTCGGGGCAGCAGCTGGGAGGGTGGAGAGAATGGGAAGCCTGGGAGAATGGAGAGAGACGGGGCAGGGAGGAGGAAAACTCAGCTGGGTTTGGGAGAGCCCAGGTAGGGGAGGCACCTTCAGGGAGGAGAGTTAGCCCTTGCCTTCCATGGAGTTTCTTAGAATCAGTGACTTCCCTCCCTCTCCCTCCCCCTTCATAGCCCACTACGTCCCTGGGGACTCACTGATCTGCTCTGGCTTTTCCACACACAGTTCAGGAAATCTATCACCACCTGCTAGATAGAGCAAAAGGGATTCCTTTGACATTGGGAGCTGATGGAGAGGAACAAAAACCAGCCTGACCTCGCATGGGAGGGAGATAGAAGCTAGAGCTTAATATGATCCTAATTATTGCATGGGTAGTCTGCAAGATGGGTTTCTGGTCAGGGCTCTTGACTGGGTGTAGATGGAGAACAGTAGCTGAGGCAACCATTAGAGGGTCATTAGAGACTGCCTAGTCTAGTCCCTTTATTTCACACCAAGAAAACCAAGGCCTAGAATCCAGACAAGACTGAGCTAAGGTCACAGTGAACCACCTCTTCCCCTCCCCACCACATCCCTATTAGAAAAGCCTTAGATTACTAGCCATGTGACTGTGAGCAAGGTATAGATACGGTCTAAGATTCAGATCTCCTGGGACTTTCATCAGGTTCAGCCTCCTCATTTCATAGATGACCCAGATTTCACCTGTGGGCCTAGAGAGGTAAGGCACTTGCTAAGGGCAATAGATAGTAAGCGGTTTAAACTGACATCGTCCTCTGACTCAAAATTTGGTGTTTTTTCCACAAAACCCTCTTATTCCCCCCATTCATATGACATCTGTGAAAGGGCTGTGTAATCTGTGCAGCGCTATAATGATGGAAGTCAGTATTTTATATTCACGGGGTCAGTATGATATCTGACAGGTCCTTTATACCCTGACCCCTAGGAGAGATGGTACCAAGGCTAGGGGTAACTGTTGGGGCTGGGGTGTTTTCCCAGGCTGCCCCACAGCATTCTATGGGAAGGACTGTGGGCGTGTGTGCCAGTGTCAGAACGGCGCCGACTGCGACCACATCACTGGCAAGTGCTCCTGCCGGACTGGCTTTACAGGGCGGCACTGTGAACAGAGTAAGCTGTCCTAACCCCTGGCCCGTGACACAGCCCTTGGGGGCCATCCCTTTAGGAGGGTGGGTGGGGGTCCTCAGGTCCTTCCAACACCAGGCCAGATCCCCACCCCATCTAAGCTCTACTCATCTCTGATGCTCTCCCCACCCATCACCACCTAGGGGCTGGGGGAAACTGACCTGCTGCAATAATGACCTGGGTACCAAAATCACCCATTAGCATGGTTGTTGATCTCTGGTGCCTGAGCCCCAGAACTATGCTGCAATCAGGCCTTTGGAGAATGGCTAAAACTCACGGGAGATGCTGGGATGCATCTTGACTTGGAGTCCCACCAAAGCTTGCCATCCCAGCCCAACCTCCCTTCCCTTCCTGTCTGTCCTCAGGATTCGGGCATAAGGAGTAGGGCAGGATTATGCCACTGCAGGGCAGGTGGGATGCAGATATGGCCCTACAGATGTTCTTATCATTCTGGTAGAGGTCAATAGTTGGAGGCTCTTAAGACCCCCTCAGCCCTCTGGTTCTTCAGAGCATTCCAACTCTTAACAGGGTAATCTCTTGCTTTGTGAGGAGGGGAAGGAGAGGGCTGTGTCCACTCAACACTGCTAGGTGGAAGAGGGTCATCGGCTAAAATTGCTGTCTACATGGGGTCCAGAAAGTTTCCTTTTTTTGCTTTCTGTACACAGTATCACAGTGCCCTTGGCTGGTATAGCTATGAGGCAGAAACTGGCTGGCATTCCAGTGGTACTGAAGGGCTGGGGTGGAGGAAATTGACTCAGTGAACCTGCAAAGTTCAAAGCATCCCTTCCCAGGCCATTTCTCACAGTTTGGAACTCGACAGACAGAAAAGTTATAAAGAACAAGGTTTGGGTAGATAAACACCTAAGTCACCAAGAATCCTAATTCTGTGAAAGGGATCAGGGAGTGTTTCCCAACACTGTCATACGAAGTAGATGGGTTTTACATTACATTACAGAGGCAGAATCATTCTTACACACAGGCCCTGAATTGTCCAGTTTACAAGCCCTAGAGCTTTACTTCCTTATCTGTTAGCTTTGCAGCTGAAGCCCAGTTAATGGAAGGCTTGGGATTCTTCCCTGAGGATCATAAAGTATAGTATAGGAGAGAGAGATGTGATTAACTGTAAAAAGCCGCGTGAAGAATTTGTGATTGAGGCACCCCTGAGGCCAGAGGATTATAGATGTGAAACTGAAATGTATCTCAAAGGTCACCTGGTCCAACCCCCTTACATTTTACAAATAAGGAAACTGAGGCCCAGAAAGGTTAATTGACTTGCCCCAAATGACACAGGTAATAAGTGAGATCTGAAGCTATGTCCTCTGACTTTTTACCTAGCGCTTTGCCCAGTGTGTCACACTGCTCTGGCCTCCCACCCCCAGTCCCCAACTTCTGTCCCTGCCAGCCTCTGTTCCTCTGAATGTGCCTGGGTGGAGTAGGGGGTGGGAGAGGTGTATCTGTCTTATCAATTCTGTCTGTGCTGTAGAGTGTTCCCCAGGAACCTTTGGCTATGGGTGTCAGCAGCTGTGTGAGTGTATGAACAATGCCACCTGTGACCATGTCACTGGCACCTGCTATTGCAGCCAGGGTTTCAAAGGCATCAGGTGTGACCAAGGTAAGACAGATTACATAGTCCCAACAACATGCGGCATGGAGAAGGGAGGGCAGGGAGAAGGTTCAAGATTGTAGGGAGTGTCCTAGTTTGGGTGGAAGAATAGAGAGAAGATCCTAAGGATGAGACTCAGTGGGGGAAGGGAAGAGAAGGCTTAGATTTGGTCGTAAAGAGAGAGAAAAAAGGGTCCAAGCTGAAAGGTGGGTCAGAGACTGTCACAGCTAACTAATACCTTAATTTCTAACTTGAAATGACTGCGAGTACACAGTCCCTGATTCTGTTCCAATACTTTATTAGTATTTATTTAGGTGACAAGAGGCAGTTATACTGAGTGTTCTAGGGGCCAAAGAGGCAGTAATCACAGGCAGACACACAGAGAAATCAGTATCACAGATAACCACCTTCTTTGACCCTCTAGGGCAAATTACAGATCATAGTCATGCTCTGGGGGCTGAAGGGTAATCCACTGAATTCATATTCACACTCCGTTCTCCATGCTAACAAAAGGGAGTTGAAGGACATTTCTGTTTGGGTTGGGGAATATAAGGATTTTAATTGGCTAATTTACCTTCCTCATCATGTTTGGCTCATGATTTCTGTATTTCTTGGCGTACCCACTACAAGAGGAGTCTCAGAAACTGCTGGGGATAGTGAGGAAGCCAGTCTGGAATGAAATATTTGCCACAGGAAAGCAAAGTGAATAATCCACAAATGAATAAAAAAGAGCTGTCTCTATTCTTTCCAAGGCTGTGATGAATAACTCTTGCCTTTCTTATCATTCTTAATACTTTTCAAATGACTTTCATGTGTGACTCATTTGATCCAAAGATGTAGGGAGGACAAGTGATACCAATTCCTGCCCTCCCCCCTTTTTTGAAACAGATAAGGAAACTGAGGCCTAGCGAAATAAAACCACCCATGTAGGGTCACATAACTACTTTGTGGCAGAGCCAAGACTGGAGTCCTTGACTTGTGCCTCCAGATATAGAACTGGGTTAATGATGTTAAAAAGGGGAAAATGATTTTAATGAGTCAACAACAGGTGATATTTAAGACTTAGAAAAATCAGATTGGGGAAGTCAGAGAGAGGGCCCGGGCAGGAATCCTCCAGTAGAGGTTTCGCTTCATCTCCACACATCTTGTCCCCAGCTGCCCTCATGATGGAAGAGCTGAATCCCTACACCAAGATCAGCCCAGCCCTGGGCTCAGAGAGGCACTCAGTGGGGGCCGTCGTTGGCACTGTCCTCCTGCTCCTCGTCATCGTGGCCCTCTTGAGCCTGTTTGCTTGGCACCGGCGGAGACAGAAAGAGAAAGGCAATGACATGCCCCGAGTCTCCTACACACCAGCCATGAGAATGACCAGTACTGACTATTCTCTGTCAGGTAAGGAGTACACGGGGGTAGTGCCATGTAGGCAATGGAACCTTTATAGAGACAGGCCCTTCCCAAGATCCGCCACATTCCACAAAACCCCACAGAGAATGCACAGCTCTGAAACTTCACTAGGCAGAGTACTCCCAAGAGGGCATGTTTTTCAAGGATAAGAGAGACTCTTGTGCTCCCAGGGTGGAGTTCTGAAGTAAGGAGGGAGTTGCTGGCTTAAAGGGAAACTCTGCAATCCAAGGCTCAGCAGAGATACTGAATCAAAGGACTGGGAGTGATCTAGGCTGTTGCAATTCTGTTATCCTTTTCCTCCAAAGAATTCACATCTTGTGATTATGCTTGGAGGAGGAACTGAGTCAGAAATTCCAGGAGGGAGGGGAGAGGAGGAGGAGGAGGAGGAGTATTGAAACCTGTGGCCTTGAAAGTCAGTTAGGGGTGGTTTTGAATTCTCCTTCCCTCTCCCTACCCCACTGCCCACAAACAATTCCCAGTACCCCACAATCCATACTTCCTTCTTTACAATCCAATCCTAGGCTTCATTATTACAAAAATTCCAGTTCTCCAGTCTTCTGGGGAAGGCTGGCCAGCCAACCACCCCTACCCCTCAAGGCTAGACCACTGACAAAGGAGCCATATGCTTTTGCTGTTCTCACACAGCCCAGGAAAGGGTAAACTGGGTAGCATCCCCGGCACCTCCCCAGCACATGCTTTTTTTGGTGGTCTTTAGTATTGTCAGTCTTTGGTAGGTAATAGCACTATCCGAAGAGTATTAGAAACTCCCAGAATAAATATTCCTCTAAAAGGTGAGAAGACACAGAGCCTAATACTGATTATGGGAAAAGATGACCTCAATCTGGATCACCACCTCCTATGGAACCAGCTACTTCCTGTTATCTGTATTCCTATATTCCCAATCATCTTGTGCTTTTTATTTGTTGTTGCTGGGTGTGGGGAATAGAAAGAAGAGACAGAACTGGGAACAGGAAGGGGAGTTTTAAGAGATTAGGGCATATCTGGCCAGGAAAAGTATAGAATCCTATCAAGTACATTTAGGAGACTAGAAAAAGATCTGGGTGACTCAAGGCAGGAGAGAGATGGACAGTCGGCCAGCCTTGACTTTCCTCAAAGATCTAGTAAAGTATACAACTTGACCCAACCTACTTCTACCCTTTTCCCCATTTCCCAATATTTATATCTGCCTTCTTCCCCTTGTGTTGCCCCAAATCCTATCTCTGCTCTCTTCCCTTAGTATCTCTACTAGTCTCACCTATCCCTCCTCCTCCACTGTCTCCCCAACCCTATCTCCTTCCCCCATGCCTCTCCAATCTCTGCTTCTTTTGTTCGGATTTCCATCCCTTAGCTCCTGTCCTTGTCCCTGTCCCTCTTCCTTCATTATATCCCTAGCTTCTCCAACACTCTTTCCCCTGCCTCCTCACCCCTCCCTTTAGGGCAGTCAGCTAAGACACATTAGTGTGTATATACAACGCCCTGCTTTTTAACTCTGAATTCACTTAAGGAAACTTCCACGAGTGTCAGCAGAGTGAAAAATACACTCTGGGATACCACAGACCAGTCACAACTTCACACTCTAGCTCTATAAAACAGTATTTGTTTCCCTGAAATGCCTGGGGACTCCTTGTAGACGTCTCCGTTTCAGTCGGGGCTGCTTTCGGATAGCTACCCTGTAGCAGTTATCCATGAGAATCCCCCAGCATGCTCCTGGCCTGCCTCCCCTGCTCTCTGTAACCAGGCTATTGGTGAATACTGGTTCCTTCAGGTATCAGCCAGAGCAGGGAATGGGTTGGGGGGTGGAGGAGGGAAGAAAGGTTTGTGATCTGATATTGTACTCTCAGAGGCAGGATGGCTGACTTTGCACTCAGGCAAACCTGGGATTGAGTCCTCCCCCTGAAATATTAGCAGTCACGTAAGGCCTCAGGGCCACCAGATAACCCTGGGAAATATCTATTTAAGTTGCAGATTTGTATCAGTGTATTTAAAGGAAGTTCCTCTACTGGGAGTTCCTCACACAGATGAAATCCCAGGTCTAGGAAAAAAACAAAAAACCAAACCCAAGTTGTAGTTTTTTGGGGCTGCTGCTGCTACTGTTCCTTTAGAAAATCAAGGGTTGTCTTCTTTCTGAAGGGTGTGACAGTTTCTCCCACTTCCCACTAGAAGCAGGGGATGAGGAATTCTTAAAACATGAGAACACTTGTGATGGGCAGGGAAGAGGAGGGAGCAGGGAAAAGGATGAGGGAGTTAGGTTTATGCCTATGTCCCCTCTTACTCCTGGGGACAAAGGTTCTTCCCAACATAGTGAGGAATCATCCAGATGTGTAACTATTTATTGGTGCCACATTCTCTTTGGTTTTGGATGAAGGCTCATTAGAGTCATTCCTTCAGGGCGCCAGGCTCCAAGGGCATCCTGGTATCATCTTCTCCTTTGGATAGTCCAAAGGAAGACATTCTGGGAGGGACAGGGAGAGTCTCTAGAAATGTACCTTTGGGGTGTTTAGGAGCGTGGAGAAATGTCAGGGGGCTGACTAACTTTCCAGGCACTCTTAGGTCTTCCCCAAGCCATGTTTTGGGGCTATGGGGTGTCCCTGGGCCGGGGGATGGGGGTGTTTGTGTGATACCTTGTTCTCTTCCCAGATGTGTCTCAAAGTAGCAGCCATGGTCAGTGCTTTTCCAACCCCAGCTACCACGCGCTGGCATGTGGGGTGCCTTCCGAAACAGTCAGTAATTTGGACAGGAACAGCTCCACTAAGGTACCTGTCATCAGATTTCCACTCACCCTGCAACTTCCCCCCCAGTCTAGCTCCTCTTTCTTTTAGAAGATTCCTTGTTGGCTTAAGGAGATACACCCCAGAGTTGCTCATCTCTTTTGGGATACATGTAGGCAAAAAGTATAGGCAACATATAAGCATCTACACGAAACCAATGTGTCACAGATAACTGACAGCTGGTTAGCTTGGTTGGAGCACCATGATAATGAATTCCAAATAAGCTAGGCTCAAACTTTGTTCCCCAATCCCAGTTTGTGTTCCCAAAAGGATAGGGCAGGAGTATGAATGGCTCAGTGTAAATCCAACCCCACTATTACAAACAATGCAAAGTTCATCCCCTAATGGAATGTCTTATTTGTACACAAAGACTTAATGATACGTGATCTGCAATGGCCATGTAATCCTTCATAATTGCATTCTACTTTATATTTTTCAAAGTGCCTTCAAATTCATTATCACTTTAGATCCTCACAGTCTCTCACAGTGAGGTAAGCAAGATGAAGATTCTTATCTACATTTGACAGATGAGGAAATTCAGACCTAGGGAGGAAGTAAAGGGTCTAAGGTCACATAGCCTGTAAGTGGCAGAGCCGAGAACCCAGGTCTTTTTACTCCTACTTTCATGTTCTACAAATCTCTGAGGTTTCTGCAAGTCTCTGACTGCCATGACATGCTGCAGGTAACTAGCACATGTTGTAACTTCATGTTAACACTGACCAGCCCAGAATGACCAATTCCATGAAGCACCTAATGGAAGCACCTCTTCACTGGTCACTCTGACAGTGGTGTCTTGCTTCTGCCTTTTATCTAAGGATGCCGTTGATCTGCTGGTGTACATGTAGCAGGGAACCCAAAACAGTCCTATGGGAGGATAGGTTCCCAATCATCCCATCTTCCTCTACCTGTCCCCTCATCCCCTAGGCAGATATGAACCCCATGATGTGTCAGCTAGAAAGGCTGGCCTCTGTACACATACCCTTTTATACACATATATGTACATCTACCTTCTGTACATACCCACACAGATGTGTGTAAATACACACCTTGTGCACATGCATGTTTACATGACGCCCTTACACATGCTTATATGCACATTTCTTGAACAAGCACACATACCCTTTATAAAGCCTATCTCCACATACACACATTTATTTATTTATTTATTTGCTTTTTGGTGAGGCAATTGGGGTTAAGTGATTGCCCATGGTCACATAGCTAGTGTAATAAGGCCAGATCTGAACTCAGGTCCTCCTGACTCCAAGGCCAGTGCTCTATCCACTACACCACCTAGCTGCCCCTTACACACACTTATATACACCTTCACAACACACTCTCTCCTTGGACATACAAAAATAAACTTTCCCAATATCCGCCCCTTACATTTGTACAGTACTTTATTGGTATATGAAGCTGGAACTTCTTTCATCACAGTGGAATATCCTAATACCCCCAGAAGTAAGCATAACAGGTATTACAGAAAAGGGAACTCGGGCTACCAGATCAAAATGGGGGAAAAAAAAAGACTACACCATAATACAACATGGCAATAAGAATACTACCATGCCCTCCCTGACTTTCTCCATCATGATTAAGTCCGGCATCTTGTATAGATAACAGCATCACCTAAATGCTAGCTTTACTTCAATGTAGCTGCAGGTGTGTTCTAAGGCCCCTTCTGTCTCTAAATCCTATGATCCCTTCTTACAACTGGCTTCCATAAGAGAGCATATGACATGATGGGCACAGCACAGGCTGTGGAGCCAGAGGTCTTGGGTTTGAACCTCAGCTCTAATACATACTAGTCATGTGACCTGGCCAAGGCACTTTCCCTTTTAGTGCCTTAGTTTCCTCATCTGTAAAATGGTGTTGGACTAAATGACTTACAAAAGCGCTTCCTAGATCTATGCCACATAATCATGTCAGTAAGCCAGGTGGCCACCCTGGAGGGAAATGATATTAAGGAGATGAAATGGCTTCTAATGCCCTTTCCAGCTCAAAAGCTTACCTGGTTGGAGAAAATAAACTCATAGACAGACCTTTGGAACTGGGACAGTTATTAGTAGCTATGGCTTACCTACAAGCATGGATGCAGGACTCAAACCCAGGATTCTTCCTCTTACAACATACTGCCTCTTTTTCCTATGTGCACAAATGCAGGCAAAATAGGAAGCCAAGAAAGTAACTATTTAGGGAAAAGTCCTGGACTTTATAGCCATCTTGATGTCTTTTCTCAGGTGACCTTGCCATAAGGAAAAGAGATTAACATGTTCCAGAAGCTCTGGCCCACAGTGTCTATGGTGCCACCCCACCCATACCTAGAGGGTTGAGTTCCTACTTCCAAGCCACTTATGGAGGCTCCATTTCCTCACCTGTGAAGTGAGAAGGGCTGAGTCTGCAAAATGTTTTGAAATCCTCAAAAACAAGATTTATATGAGGCAATACGCTATGATGGCTAGAGAACTGAACTGGGAATCAGAAAGAATTGGGCTCTGATCCCACTTCAAATATCTTACTAGCTGTGTGACCCTGGACAGGTCACTTAAACTCTCTAAGCCTATTTCCTCATGTGAAAAATAGGGATAATAATAGTATTTCCCCCCTGCCCCCTGGGGTTGTTGTGAGGTCCAGTGAGATAATGGCTGAACAACATGTCAGCTTTAAAACACTATCTTTATTATCATCATCAACATCTGAAAGTGAGGCCCCAGAGCATCAGAATAACTCACGTAGCATTGCAGCCTCTGCCAATCACTTATTCCCATCAATCCCTTCTCTCTGCTTTTATTCTCAGTGTGGACCTTCGTACCTTCCCTCCTCTTTGTGGTAAGCCCAGGCTCTGTAGTAGCTGAAAGCAAAGGCTTCATCATAGCCAAATAGAGCAGAGAAGTGATTGATGCCAAGTATGGGACCCAGACTTTCCTACTAGTAGACAAATAATTAAACTAGATAGAAATGTATGCACCTAATCTGTCCCCCTACTTGCTTCTCAGTCGAAGCATCATGCACAGGCCATATCAGAGTGATTTATCAGCAAGAGCCACTGTGGCTCTCATTCTTCAAACCAAACAGCCCCCTTGGACTCTCTAGAGTGCGCTTGAGAATGTTATCTTTGAATGTGCTTCCTCAGTAGGGGATGGGAGTGTCAGGCAAGCACAATGATACTAGGTTACCCAAGCCCTTTCCCCCCTCCCCCAGCCCCCAAACCATAGCTGCCAGCATTTCTCCATTCTTACCACCACCAGGAATCATTGTTCTGTGTCTTCAAACATCGAGTAACCAGGGTGGGCACAGTCAGTTCCATTGGGATTTGGGGTTTGAGGGGAGGGGGCAACAAGAGACTTGGTCTCTTTGAGGGGAGGGGTGGGGCTGGATGACTCAGCGTTAACCCCCGTCTCCTGCTTTCCAAACAGCTCAGTAACAAATCCCTTGACAGAGATACGTCTGGGTGGACACCTTACAGCTATGTGAACGTGCTAGGTCAGTAAACATGCCCAGTATCAGCCTTTCCCCCCGGGCCCAGCCTCAGCTTTCAAGTCCTACCCCACCATCACCTAAAAGGTTCTTGGGGTCTAATACTCCTTCTCCCAGAACTCCCCCCACTGGACACTTATACTGGCAGAACTTTGGGTTGCTTCTATCTTCTTATCCTAAGGGAAATGATGCAAATCAGGCATTTGTCCCCCAGCATATGGTATCTTTTGGGAAGGGTAGTTGTGGAGGGGAGAGCAGTGAGGACAGTGAAGCTCTCTGCCAATGAAAGGCAAAATGTCATAGGATTTCCTTCAAAGAGGAGGAAGACCCATGCCCCCTCCCTCAGACCCTTATAAGAACAACTGGGCAAGGTTGGGACATATACAAAGTTTTCCCTGAATCCCAGCAAGGGCTCTGAATCTGGAAGGTCAGACTGCTCTGGTAAAGGGGGAGCTGGGATAGAGAAAAGGCTTTTCCTCATGGTCTGCAAGAGGAGGGGTGGTATTTTCAAAATGCCCCCTTTCCATCTCTTGCCCTTGATAAGATCTTCCCCCACCAGGGTGGCCCCCTTGTCTCTGCCTCTCCTCAGCTGCCTTGCTCTTAAAGCCCCAAAGTTTATCACCCACCACACCTTCCCCTACAGTGATGGACAGAGAAGGGGAACAAGGACACCTTAGTTTCTGCTATCAGGCCCACCTTGGAGTGTCTCTTAGAATTCAAACACAGTATCTATCTCTCCCTAACCCCCATGTACCTCATACCCTAGGGGCTCTGGGAATAATGGCTCCTCCCTGTCATTCCTCTCACTAGACTCCCATTTCCAGATCAGTGCTCTGGAGGCCAGGTACCCGCCCGAGGACTTCTACATTGAACTTAGACACCTTGGCCGCCCTGCTGAGCCAAACACACCAGGTCAGATCCCATTCCACTTCCCTACCTTTTATCTCATTCTACCAAATCCCAAGATCCAGCTCTCTTCCCACACATCCCGTGCTGAGCACCATACCACAGACCAGTCAGTTCCCAAGCAAGTGTGCCCTGTGCCTTCACCACCCCATTCTGGCTCCTAATTGTTCAATGTAACCAGTTCCTCTATGCAACTTAGACAACTAGTCCGGATACTCACAGTAAAGTCTGAGGTGTGGCGATGAAGACAGGGTACTAACAATCAACTCTGTTACCTATCCATACAGCATCTAAGGCAAATGTTTAATCCCAGGCTCTCTTGTACTACCCAGAATGCTCTTGGATCCTGTCCCCCACCCCACCTACTCCAGGAAGCTGATATGAGTTCATAAGATACAAAATTCACATGAATTAAACATGACAAGGACAATAAAACACATGATAATTTCCAAAGCCAAGGCAGGGCTCTGGGGTTTGTGTCTTTTTGCTCCTGTCCACTAGCATGGATAGTTGAGAGTTGGTTGTGAGTCTATGGCTCTCAGGCTCCTGAAGGAGTACCCCAGACCCACTGAAGATGCCACCTGGGATGCCTTCTTTTCCTTCCCACCACCAGGCAGTGGTGACAGTGGGTGCTCTCATCAGCATGCTTATCACCTTAAGGCCATGGGGAGATTGTGGCCCAAATGAGGGAATAGGACTAGGGTCTTACATTCATCATCACCAAAATGAGCACAAATTATCCATCATCCTTAATGAATATTCATTAAGCACACAGTAACTGTGTGCTACAGAATTAGTAACTCAGGAAAGAAAGAAGGGAATAGTCACATTCTCTAGTATAAAAGAGGGAGGGGAGAGGCTGGAGAGCTAGGAATGAATAAGTCAGAGGTAACTCTGAAGAAGGAACAAGAGACTTCTATGTGAACACATTCTTTGCAAAGATGTCCCATTGGTCTCGGAGCCTTGACTGAACTAGATGTCTTCCTTGTACAGATGCTATGGATCCAGGAGGTGAAAGAAGTCTGGGCTCTAGGTTCCAGAGCCTCAGATTGTTGTTTCTGGGTTTCAGGACTGGGGGGGGGGGGCGCGATGTGGCTCATGCCAATGCAGAAGATTTGGTCCTGCTGTCAACTCAGAGGACTAGGTGGTTCTGATTCTATTCCTCTGAGCAAGATCTCCAGCAAACATAGGTACACATAGCCACTCTGACCACCCATGGGTAAATATACCCAGAATAATAGCTAATGCATGTGTGTACAGATACACGTAACAGTTTACATAAGTTAATTCACTTGATCTTCACAACAACCTTATGAGTTAGGTGCAGAAGGCTGGTCTCAAGCCCCTGGGCTCATCACTCAATCCCAAAGTACCCAGGATTTGCCTCAATGCAAACCCACTGAGCTTGAAGAGAGATTAATTCTGGCTTCCTTATGTCGGAGATGCTAAACAGCAAAAAACAAAAGTAATGTTGTCCTTGTTATCAAGACCGGTAGCCCAAATTCCCAGTGCATTTTCACTTTCGTCTTATTTTGCCAGTTCTTGGCAGGAGTGATGTTAGATTGTGGTTTGCCAGGATAACAGACTGCTTAAGGAATAACTTCATAGCATCATCCACTCATAGGCAGTCTGTGATGCCGTAAAATGAAAACTGAAGGAGCCAAAGCATCCAACTTCTAGGTCCAAACAGCCTATTATATAAAAGAAGTACCTTAAACTTTCTGGGCCTCAGAGTTCTCTACAGAATGGCAAAATTCATGCCTGACACAAGCAATACCATTAGGTGAACCATAGTCAACTTACAAACTTGGTCCTGGTTCTCATATATACACTTTGGAGTTAGCAGCATTAGCTAAGATAGAATTTTCTTCAAAGCTGGAGTTTGCAGCCCTGACTTCCTAGTAATCAGCAAATGAGAAACCTCTCCAGGCAGCCCTCATTCCCTTCCTTTCCACCATCAGCACCTAGGGATGGGGTGGAGAAAGCAGTCTCTTCATTATTCACTAAAAACCACCAGGTTATTCCAAGACTGAGCCACCTACAGGCAGGGAGCAAGGGTCTAAGAATTCCGGTTTCTAGGCTATGAGTGGAGAAAGACTTAAAGGGAGATTCTGGATAGGTTTTCAGAAATCTAGAGTAATTGTTGGTGATATGGGACAGCACCCACTAGCAGTGTTGGGAAAGCACCAGGGCTCCTTTCTGTGGCTAGGCCCCTAGGAATGATGCCACCAGATGCTGCCTTGTCCCAAAGGGCCTTCCAGCTTTGAGCAGCTCAGGGCCCCAGAAATATAAAACAAAGATATCTTCAGAGTAAATCCAGGAGTGGAAAGTTAGGAAGGATTAGTCTGAAAGCCAAGGGAAGAACAGAAAGTCATATTGGGGGGAATAGTGAGGAAAGACAACCACCTCCCAAATCTCTTTCTTTGCTTTCCTAAGGGCATGGTTGGGCTCATCTGATGATTGGAATGGTGTTCAGGGAAGGAAGGAAGGGATTAAGCTGGTCAGAAGCATCATTTTTACCTCTTTGGGCTCCTTCCCATGGACAATGCCACTGGGTACACAGAGCTTGTTCATGTAAGGGAGGTGACTAAGTTATATAAATGGGAGTATGGAGTTTTGGATAATGAAGCCTGTTTGATCTGGTCAGCACAAGTGGAGACAGCAGGATTTAGATCAAAGCATATTAAATATTTATATATGGTTTTCACAATTAAATCCCTGAAACACTCTCTGACCTTGATTCTGAGACACGGTACCTTAGTACAGCAGGCCAGAACTATCAAGAAAGATATCTGCAATGACTCTTTACAGTCAAATACCGCATCAAGACATAGGAGCTGAGGGCCATCACAGGATGGCCCCTATCATTTTACCTTACCCTCAACTCAAGCTCAGGGCTTGAAGCCCGTAGATGTTAGTCATAACTGCTTAAGAACAGAGCAGCCCATCCAAAGTTGAAACCAGATACATAAATCACTCTTACAGTTAAAAAGCACTGCTTTCTTCCATAACCAACTCTCAATTACCCATTAGTAGAGAATCCAGAGTGGATAACTGAGAATAGACCATGGAAAGGAGATGCCTATGTATCTATTAAAACCTACTTTTAGATGATCTGTAACAATTCAGATTCTTCAATGAGAAGCAGAGGTTGGGACAGTTATAGCCCAAGTGGGCATCTGGCCCCTGTGCATGCATGCATGCATGAAAAGGTATCTGTCTGTTTTCATTATCAAATCTAAGTGATTTTGGCTTATCCATGCCTTCTCCTTCCTTCTTCTTCCTCTCCTCATTAGCATGGCTAATTGAGAGCTAGCTCTACTTCTATTCATGGCTGCAGCCATTAATTTTAGGAGCTGAAAAATTTCCACCTGGAAATAGTGCTATCAGAAACACCTCTGCTCCTCTGGGGGGTGGGAGGGTACTGGCTGAGGTGAGGGATATGATACTGGCCCTCCTAGGTAAGAGAGCGGGGTCAAGTGAACCTGTCTACCACACATTACCCTTATACTGCTCACTCACAATATTATTTCTTTCTTTTCCCATTGTATGTTATTTTTCTGCAGGTGCTTGTGTGATGGACAGACGTCAAAACACATATATTATGGAGAAAGGCTTCAAAGGTAGAGTATCTGATGCCTGATGTGCCATTAGCAAAGAACTTAGCTGGATTAACACTACAGACCAGACATGGTCAGAAGTTCCTCAAACCTCAGAGAATCGGCACATGTAAAAAAATAATCCACAAATGTCCTGGTTCTGGGTAGTTCTGCCCAGGAGGAGCAATTGCAGTAATTTATATTTTTTAATTTTGGTTATATCTGCTTAGCAAACTCTTATGGGTTATTTTTATAGGTACCAACCAAATGACTCCAAAAATGTAGAACACCATTATATCCAACCAATTAGTGTGAGCTAAATCAATGAAAATTTTTGAAATAAAGTCAATCTATTTGCCCCAGAGGCTTCCTGTCTTGAGCTGGCAAGAAGAACTACCTTCCACCTATTAAGGTATGAGAAATGAAAATTATAAAACCTTAATATCCAATGGGGCCCAATCCTCTCTCTCTCAAGCAAGGAAACTATTTCCAGTGACCATGACAAGTCCTGATTACTCACAACAAAAGGACATCCAAAAGATGACAAGCTACAGCTGTGCCCTGGGCTTAGCCCAAACTACCTCTGAATGACATCAGTCAACAAGCATTTATTTAGGTCCTACTATTTGGCAGGCAGGCACTGTGCTGGGGATACAGATACAAAGAGAGAAAGGATCCCTACCTGTCAAAGTCCTCCAAAAGTCCCCAGACTTCTAGGGCATTGAGGAACACCTAGAGCAGACAGAGAGTCAAGAACATTTTCTCACCTCTCCTGGGAAACCTCTCAGTGACATCCATGGCCCCTTTCCCGGAATTAGTGACAATCTGTTTTCTTAGCTATAAAACGAAGTGATGTTATTATACCACTTATCTCAGGGTTGCTGTAAGGCTCAAATGAGATAATGCAAGTAAAGTGCTTTGTACACCACAATGTGCTATATGAATGAGACTAACCTTGACAAAAATTTCTTATTCCTGAAGGAGGTGGAATCAAATAGACCTAAAGTTCACATCCTGCTTTAGACACTTAATGGCTGTGTGACCTTGGACAAATCACTTGACCTCTCTCTGCCTAAGTTTCCTGTCTATAAAATAAGGGGTTGGACTTGATGACCTTTACAGGCTCTGTGGCCCCTTGTAGTGCTATAGCTATGACTGACAGATAGTACACTTTCAGCACGAGTTGGGTAGTTACAAGGACTTTGCCCCAGGGCACTGAATTTTAGAAGGAGATACCAGCATTTCTACACCTTCTACAGCTGTAGAAACAACTGAGCATAGCACCTAGTTTTCAAGAATAATTAGTTCAAATAGGAAGCTACCCCCTAGCAGAGTTCCTCCTAGGCCTGGCCCTGCCCTGCCTGGACTCCACAGCCACAAATTTGGAGTATCCTTGGATCTCCATCCATGGGCTTCCTCTTTCTCCACTGAATTTGGACTGAATAAGCTGATTTAAGGGTACATTTAGTACTGCTTGCTCCAGGCTGCTGCTTATAGCTCTGGTGTAAGATTTGGGTTGGTGCAATATTAACATAAGTTAGTGTTCTGCATTTTATAAGGGCCCAGAACCACCTGGAAATTATGAGGTCAGGGCCGTTGCTATAACAGCATTTGCTTGCTGTTTCATTCTCGTGTTTTTTGAATGAATCCATCCAAACAGGATGCATGTCCACAGACTCTCGTGGGCTACATTACAACAGGTGATGCTAAAAATAGGCTGGACCACTCATGGAAGGAGGCTGACTCAAGTCCAGACATACTGTTAAATGGATATAAAACTTTTGCTGTGCTCTTATCAGAATTCCCCAGACTTCACACTGGAGAACATTTGAGAATAGGTAACCACTAATAAGCCACACTCCAAAAAAACCAAACTTCAACATAAACAGAGCTGAGAAAAGCAGTGTTTCTTCTGCCTAAAAGACAGATGGTTTCAGTCTTCCTTTTTCCATGAGGGTGATAATCATTAAGAGGTTAGAAGGCCTTGAAACTGTTATCTATGTAATAATCCTATGGTCTAAGTAGTAATGTTTTTTACATGATGATAATACATTCTAGCAGCTACAGAATTTGGTTTCATTACCATGGATATATATTCAGCCTTTAAGAGGAGAGACAAAAGCATCCATATAGAAAATGGAGAAACTAGGGTTTGAAAATGAAGACATAAGTGCAGGAATGCTCTAGAAAAAAATTGGAGTGGGGGTAAGGAAAATAGAAAATTCCAGAGTCCCAGACCTTACAGAACTATTAGAGATGTAAGATGAAGAGTGAACCAAAACCCAAACACTTACACTAATCACAGACTGTGGAAAAAACACAACTAACAATCTTGTTAAACCAAAAGTTTTGGGGAGGTTTCCCCTCAAAAACAGGCAACATTCTCTGTCTCTGACAGTTTCTATTTTCCCATATAAATATCCCCACAGCATCACAGTCCATCTGTTACTCTCTCTTAGTATTCTCCACTCTTACATTTCTTGGGTATTCTGAGCTACCAACATAACTGGTAATTCCATCTCAACTTCTGTTTTTATGCTCCAAACACTCAACATCCTTCTTTATTCCCCACCCCCTACCAGTGACTTTGCTACAGTCTATTATTACCCTGGCCACTGGCTTCTCTGTCTTTCAATTCTTTCAACATGCTACAGCTGAAATCCTTGACCCTGCTTCTCTATCATCTTCTTTATCTTTGTTTGATTCCAAGATCTCACTTCCCCTCCTTTTGGCATAAATTCTCATCATTTTCTTCACGCAAAGCTCTTCTCATTTTGTGCAGGAACCTCGCTATACGGGCCTACTTTTCCCCCAAGTTCTACCAGCATGTCCCTCACCCCATCCTATCCAAATTCTTCCTCAAAATGTGCGACAGGTATGACTCCAGGGCTCTCAGGTAATCAGGGAAGACTGCCAGCCTGTGAAGATACTCATCAATTCCAGGGTTAGCCCAATTCCCTCTTCTGCCTTTCTTCCCCTTGTCAGAAATGGATGCCATACATGGAGAGAATGCATATGATCAATTTATAACAGCAGTAGTTTAGGAGCACAGATATGAATTTTGGTCCCCAACTCCACCACTAACCTATCTGGTGCCTGGTTTCCCCAGCTTTTTGAAATGGGGAGGGGCACCTGGGCCTCATCTATCCCAAGTGTTTGGATTATAAGCCTTCTTTAATAAGCAGGCACTATGCAAACACAAGTATTCATAACCCATTCCTCACCCCCAGCACAGGGCTAGGCTGTCAACACTGATACTAATCACAAGCGAGAGTGAGTCCCCACAGCATTGTGCTCAAGTTCCTCTCTAACCTCTTTCCTGGCAAAATGCCTTGAGATGGGGACCTGGGGAAACTTGAGGAAGTATTTTAAAACAGCTATTTATTTAATCAGGTAGATGGACAGGCGGGTGACTCAGCAGGGGAAAAGGGGCAGCTTCCTACTTTTTTCTTGCCCTGCCTCCTCCCCAGGCCTGGTACAGCTCTAGACTCACAGTGGGAGGTTCTCAGATAGTCTAGTATACCTCTTTCAGTCCTTACACTTTTCTGATGGCCTGTTTCTACAGGCAGGATGGTGGGATAAAAAGGATGTAGGCTCAAGGGACTGGGCAACTGTTACAGCTGCCTTTTTGTTTCTGATTGCAGAGACCTAGAAATACAACTTCCTAGTATAATGAATAACAGTAACTACCTTGTCCACGAACAGACCCATCCCAGGCTGGTTGGAGCAGAATAAAATTATCCACACTTTGGATAACTGAAGCCATTTCATGTCCCATTCTTCTTTTTCAAAAAAAAAAAATCAAGCAAACAAAAAGCCCTATCTCTTCTCACAGGAGGAAATGAAATTAAAATGAATCAGTTTTGGTTTGCACTGGGGAGGTGACATTCATTAGGCAAGAATTTCAAGGCTGATCCATCTTCATAGATCATATGATTCAACATAGCATTATCTCATTAATCTTTTACATTTTCCTAGGACAAGTGAGAGTATAAAAAAAAGGGCAGCTGGCTTCCCTCCTTAAGTCTTAGCCACAGCTTGAGGTTTTTTGTTTTGTTCTTCAATTCTTAAGGAGGAAAGAGAAGGGATTATGTTCAGAAAACAGAGACTTGTCTGACTATCTATGTCACTCTTGGATCCCTGAAATTTTGGGATATACATAGCTAAAAAGCACCCAAAAAGATAAAATAGACATAAGGAAATGTTCCAGGAGAGAATGCTCTACCTTTCTTTGGCATCTTCTAATGGAAGCAAGTCAAGTCAATGAAGTAAATAACAATGCACCACATATCTGTGGTCTCAGTTGAATTGTGGGCTAACCAATTCCCCCCTCTGCCAAGTATACCCATCATCAGAGATACCTAGACTAGAGCTTATAGAACTAGGAGAGGACCTAATTTGTGAATCCCATGGGAAGCCTTCAACAGAGTATTTTTAAGGGAAAGTGGGAAGGCTACTTAGTAGCAGCTCTGGTGAGTAGGACCATCTTGCTCAGGCTACCACTGTTTGAGCTACTAGCTATCCACAATGTGGCCTCCCCCTCCAGCCCACGGAGGGAAAAATCCAAAAAGTCCAAGGCACAGGTTGGTTGATACCCAAACATTTATATAACCATAAGGAGCCAACTAGATACTTGGGACTGCCAATGAGCTCAGTCTCCACTAAATGTACTCCTGAGCTAGAGAAAAAGTTATGTGTATAGCTATCTGTATAGCTATGGGCACAGCAACATAAAACTGTAAGACAACAGAAGCTTAAAAATAGAAGGAACCTTAAGTTATTGTCTAGCTCAGGGGTTCTTAATGATTACTGTGTCATGGACTTCCTTGGACAGTCTGGTGAAGCTTAATGTTTTTAAATGTCTAACGTAGGATTAAAAAAGGAAACCAATTATAATGAAATAGTTATCCAAAGAAATAAAAGCTCATGGACTCTAGGTTAAGAACTCTTGAATCTAGTTCAACCCCCTCATTCTATAGATGGGGAAACTGAGGCCAAAAGAAGTCAAGTGATTTGCTTGAGATCACACAGGTAGGTAAACAGGCAGAGCCCAGTGTGAATCGTAGTCCAGAGCTCTTTTATTTTCACATCCTATGGAGCAGTCAGCCCCCTACTTCCCCATTTCACAAAACAACAGGACCGCTCCAAGAATGTGAAAAAGCTGAATATTCTTCTTCCCCACATGGGATGGAATTTACTTAGAATAAAACCAAGGATGATCAGGACGACTAGGTGGCACAGTGGATACAGCACCGCCCCTGGAGTCAGAAGGATGAGAGCTCAAATCCAGCCTCAGACACTTGACACTTCCTAGCTGTGTGACCCTGGGCAAGTCACTTAACCTTTTTACCTCACCAAAACAACAACAAAAAAAACCCAAAACAAAACAAAAAACAAGGACCCACTATGTGGTAGAATGGAAAAAGCACTGTCAGAATGTGGGTTCAAATCCTGCCTCTGAAGTTTACTACCTGTGTTACTGCAGGCATGTCTCCTGCTCACTTTGAGCCTCAGCTTCCTCATCTGTAAAAGGAAGAGCTGTACTAGATAACCCACAGGGTCCTTTCCAGCTCTAAATCTATGATCCTATGGCTTTTCTTCTCTTTAGTATCACACAGGCATTACATAAGGTCACTCACTAGCTTTGATGTTATATGCAGGTACTAGACTCTTCCCTCTAGGAATTTATAGACTGGGAGGGCAAAGGATTGGGGAGGGGGGTGTAGGATGACAACAATGTCTACTTGGGAAAATAAAATCCCAAACCTATCCTAGCTGTGACTTATGGACAATGATCTTACTTAATGTAATTTTCCCCAAACAGGTTTTCCCTAACAACTCCATTTTCATCTCCTATGCTGAATCATTTTCTAAGATGACAGGGTGGTTTTTAAGCTTTCAGCATGTTTTCTTACTCGTGTTATTTTTCAATGATAACACAAGTCCTAAGAGAACTCCTTCCTGTTCTGCAGATTACACAAAAGAATCTGTAAGCAGCTCGAGTACGTGCTCTCTCAACAGCAGTGAAAACCCCTATGCCACCATCAAGGATCCACCCCTCCTCACCTGCAAGCCCACAGAGAGCAGCTATGTAGAAATGAAGTCACCTGCTCACAGGGATTCTCCATACACAGACATGCCGTCCTTGTCGGCATCTAATAAAAATATATATGAAGTTGGTAGGTGTCTTAAATAACTCTAAAATGCAGTATATAAACTGAAATAGAGATAAGGTCCCCTAACTATCCCCCTCTTCTGGAGGGGAGGGAATAAGAAAACTTAATACTGCTTTTAAGTATTCCAGGTCGAACTGTACCTCCCAGGACTGCACCTTCTCTCCTGGGCCAAATTTCCATACCAACACTAATCTAAAAAACACTATGATTAGGATGCAACATAGTAAGTATGTATAGTTGGGGAAATGTATTCTACCAGCCATTTATGGAAGATCTCAACTCAAATTCATTACTCATCCTAGTGGCCAGATATTTTTCCCTTTTAAATCTGAATAAGGATTTGTAAATGATCCATACAGTCATATTAAGGTTTCACCTTCACCTGAAAAATTAATCAGTCCTTAGTTTCACATCTAATGACCTCAGGTTGTGGTTCCATCAACCTGGGAGGACTGACAAAAGCCCCATCTTCAATATGTTAAATCTTTGGGTTGTGATTAGAGCTCAGCATTCTTACAGCACACTTTAGACAGAGTACCAACATAATAACACAGTCTCATTTCTAATCAATACTTGGTTTACAGAATAGCTAACATGACTGCCTTTTGACATGAATTTGGAAGCCTCCATTTCCCTCCCCTAGCCTATGTTAAAATAATCCTTCCTCTTCCCCCAAGAGGCAATCAAAGCTAATCTGTTCTCTGAACTCATTTTTCACTATATCCTTAGAACCCACAGTCAGTGTGGTCCAAGAAGGCCGCGGTCATAGCGCCAGCTATATCCAGAATCCATACGACCTACCTAGGAACAGCCATATTCCTGGTCATTATGACCTCCTCCCAATAAGACAGAGCCCTGCCCATGGACCCTCTCAGGACAAACAATCTTAAAAAGGGATAAACACGCTTGCGATGTGCTGTGCTGGACACACTCTCTGACTCACTGAAAGAAGACAATCCTTTGACTTGAAATAATGGTAAACAAGGAACACTGGTACACAACAACTCCTGCTGCATGACGTTAAGATCGTTTTTTACACTCTCCACCTAGGAATAATGAATAACTTCCAAAGAGACTGGAATAATTGTCCAATGAAGCTCTTTATATGGTCCACCCCCAAAATAACACTCAACTTTCTGGACTGTGTTGTAACAACACTTTACAAGATGAGCCAACACCAGCTGCATAGACAAGTTGAGACATGAGTGGAGAGCTAGTGGAACATTTGGGGTTCAAAAAAATACTGGGGAGAAGGTAAAGGGGAAGTGAGGGTGGCAGAGGAAAAGGGGTGCATGTGGAAGGGGAACTACTTTAAAAGCAACCAATCAATATGATATCTGTATATTTGGGCCATGTCATTACTATACCCATTTCTTTGTATGCTGTTTTTCTTTGTAGTAAGTTGTTTTATGTTCTTCTTTAGTACAGAGGTACAGAGAGATGCCTCGTGCCATCATATTATCAGTGCTTCAAGTAGCTATGACTATATTCTGGTTTCATCAAATCCCAATGGCTCCAAGTCATGGCCTGGTTGTCTCAAGAAGAATTATGTATGTCAACTTAAGTGTAAATCTTTTAATAGTTTAACAGTTTAATTTCCCCCTTTTTTGGCTTAAAGATGGCTATATAGTTGTGATTTTTATAGAAATATAAATATTTCCAGAGCAACAGCTTTTTTCTGTGTCTAGAGTAATGGCTTCAGGCTAGTTTTGCCACCTACCATCACACACAAAATTTTGGCAGTGTTAGTCACAGGTTCATTAAGATCTCCTTTGATCTAGGACTATCTTTGTACAACACCTCAGTCATCGCACCTAAAAACTAGCTTTCAGATGAGGTTTTAAATAGTCATTTGTGGAACAGAATGAAGGGTACCTACAAAATAGCTATTAGGTCCAATTTTTTTTAAAAGGTGATAAACCTTGACATATAAGACTAAGAATACCTGCTTTCAAGCAATTCTTTGTAAATTTTGAACTTGATATAGTACTGAGTCTAAATGTGTACAGTTATTAGGCAGATGTGGAATTAGAAAGATGTTTGGGAATTTTTTTTAATGGAACCAATTAGAACGATCAACGGAAGAATGAACTTTGATCAGTTGTTGTAGCATAAACAGAACCATAGTAAAAATCAGTTTCAGAAACTAGGAAGAAAATTTTCTACTTTAGAACCAATTGTTCCAAGGCAATGATGACCAAAATTATTGTTTCAACGTGATCTAAGTCTTGGTGTTAAGGTGGAGGTGGAGCTCTCAATCTCTACTCTACTAATAGCATGATAGGACTTTTAGCAGGTAAGCTGAGGTTCTATCAAGTAAGTCAGAGACAAAGTCAACACTTCAACCCTTACAATAACATTCACAAGAGAACTTTGAGTCAATGGCAAGCTGAAAAAAAAAAAAACAAAAAAAAAACACCAACCCATGCCATAACTGTTACCTCATCATGCTCCAACATTGATCCATTCACCAAGGAGCACTTCCATGGAGTCCACAAAGGAGTAACGAAATGACTAGTGAAGACAGAAATGTTTCTATATGGAAGTAAGAGCATTTCAAAGCCCTTAATGCAAATGATAATCTGCTGTATAAAAAATTAATAGTTAAAGCATTAACCAGAGAAAGAAAAAAACGTTTCCATACATAGGCTTAAGTGGAAGTAGATTTTCCCATCATGGGATGATCATAATATTTACATGAATGCTGCATGTATGCATGGGAGCAAATGGGTGATCAGCAATAGCAATTTTATGTTCCAGAAAAGCCTTATAAAATATAATTCAAGATTTATTTTGTAGATGCAGGTAACTTTTACACAAATATATGTACATATATATATATAAAAAGATTTACCTCAATTTCAGGGCAGCCAATATTCAATTATCTTTATGCTGAAGATCAACAAAACATGGATGAGTGAAAAGATAGGTAAGGCAAAACTTAGCCACCATTTGCAAAATCATTTTTAACCTCTGTAGTTATACTGCTGGTTTGCAGCGAGCAACAGGCTTCAAAATGTCAAATATCGTCCCTTCTCCCTTTCCCTAGTCACTGTCCAATAGAGGTATTCATGAACTGGCCAAAAGCCAGAATCCAGGCACCCAGGAGGAGGAAAAGAAAAGGTAAAGGAGCACCATTGACCTGAAGTAAGTAACTTCCCAAAGATAATTGAGAGTTGACTACAAAAAGGCATTTCAACCATACAGAGCTATTGTTAGGTAATTCTGTCTAGCATTAGCACAAGCAAATTCAGCTGCCAGCTTAAACAGGTACATGCTTTATCTGTATATTTAACTGGAAACCTAGAGAGATCCATTCAATTGTTCCAGAAGCTGAATTTTCAACCAAATGAAGTGATGTGCATAGAGATAAAAAAGAAAACACACACACACACACACATTGCATGATTAGCATTAGGTTAGAAACTAGACTATGAAATGGCAATACTTTTTTAAAAACAAGGCAGATTTGTAATATGTTTGTTCACTGTGCAAAGGTACTGTACCTTGTACAAAATAAAATGAATTTCTCTCAACCTGCGTTTCTCAAATTACTTTGATTTACAGATCATAAGAATTCTTAAATTGCATTGTAAACTGATTATATTTCCAGATTCTACTTTATAGGGGTAAAGACAGGATTAATCCAAACCCTATGTAAGAATTTGTCATCATAAGCCAATATACCTTAAAAATGAAAAAGGAATATCTAAAGAATGCAAAGAAGTTCTTTTCTTTGAGAAGGTGAAAAAAGGGTTCAGCATATTTTCCTCATTCTTGAAAAATCTTACATGCACATCAATATCACACACAAGGGCCTTACTAGTCTCACTGCATTCATAAGGATGAGCAAACAAAGATAACCATTGCGGCTTGTCTTCAGCTGAAAAAAAAAAAAGGACAAAGGTACTTCTATGGAATGCAATAAAGGGAAATGCTGGGACCACTTCATTTACATAAATGTGATAAATAGTTTTCCTCCGGCCAAAGTTAACAAGCAGCATGGCCAGTTAGGGATATAGCTGCTTCACTACCTTTTAAAACAAAATTCTCATTAGTAAAGAAGCTACAGGAATAGTTCTGTAATAAAAATGCAGACACTGAATCAGAGCTCACTGAATTCAGTCAAGTGATACAAGTTTTAAGATTTATCCCCTGTACTTTCAAAGCTTTTGTATGTAATCTGCTTAAAAATCACACCAAAGTCCTTTGACTTCAGTGTGTAAGACTTAAATGATATTTAAGAAGTAATTCCAGTTTAATACAGTGTCTAAGTAAAAAAGAAAAAGATCACTTTATACCATTGCTAAAAGATTAATATTCATCAGAAACAAAGAGTAACTTGAGGGATCTTGCTAACAGATAATTCTCAACAGCAAGGGTTTAATATTTGAGAGAAAGACAAATGTAATGAAGAATTATGGTGCAAAAAGAAGATTTACCAAGAATTTTAGTGCATAAGTTCATTACCAAAACAAGATGGCTGAATATTACTACATACACTCATCACTGGGGACTGCTGCATGGGATATTCTTAAACCAGAAGCTGGATGAACATCAGCAATTACATCAGTTAGTGACCTATTTGATCAAGCCAAAATTATTTACTACAAAAGAAAAATACTACTACACTGTAGGGAAGAAATAAGTAAGCACTTTTATGTGGCAACAATCATTCTCAAAAGTGACTGGCTGTTGGGGACAACTAGGTGGCACAGTGGATAGAGTGCCAGCCCTGGAGTCAGGAGGACCTGAGTTCAAATCCGGCCTCAGACACATAACACTTACTAGCTGTGTGACCCTGGGCAAGTCACTTTAACCCCATTGCCTAGCTTAAAAAAAAAAGTGATTGGTTGGTTTTTTTCCCTAATTAAAATCATACAATGATATTCAACTAGACTACCATCCAAATGAAAGTAGACCAGAATGCTAGAATAAGGTATCTAGAGAAAGCTCTAGACTAGCCCTGTACAACATATAGCCTGTAGGTTGTTTGCAGCCTATCAAAGCAGCCTGAGGGCAGTACGTTGGGCAGGCCTGCTCTAGACTCAAGAGTATTAAGTGACCATTCTTTGTTGGGAGGAGTCAAATCATACTGTAGTACACTCTAACCTCAAAGTTTTTATATAGGCAAAAATCATGCGAAACAGTCTTCTAGGAGAAATGGTTCATTTGTTAAAAACTTTTTGTGTATTGCTACATGCAATACAGCACCCCACCAATTTCGAGGTCAAATATGTCATATCTCTTACAAAACTGCCAAGTAATGACCCCAACATTGTTTTCTTTCAATTAATAAGCACATATTATATGCTAGGACTATGACTGATTTCTAATTGTATTTTTGGTCATTTCTGCTTGTGGAAGGCAGAGACCGTAAACTGCACTCTTCTCTAAAGGGTCTAGCATGAATGTTAGCAACCTTTAAAAAGCATGTTCAAGGTAGCTAATGCTTTCCTTTTAGTATGTGTTTGGGGGAAGGGGAAAAGGAACAACTATGTTAACTGCAGGTCACTAAAGCAGGGAGGAATGCTAGTCATAGTCCACTAACTCATTGGAGAAATATGAGAAAAGGGAAACTGGTTGTATGGGGTGAGGTAAGGTTGAGTTCTCAGAGTCAAATTCAATACTGAGAAGGGAAGTATACCAGTCACCAAGTTTCAACGCTGGCCTCACTGGTGACCACACCAACTACCACCGGCCATCGTGTCAAATTTAGTATATGTATCAAGTATATGACAGACCCTCTGCTTGGTCCATTATAGGGGTGGAGGGGAGGGAAGTGAATAAGCATTTTAAAACACCTAACATATGCCAGGCACTATACTGAGCACTTTACAATTATCTCATGTAATCCTCACAACCCTACAAGATAGGTGTTGTTATTCCCATGTTTTGGAAACTGAGGCAAACAGAAGTTAAATGACTTGCTTAGATAACACAGCTAGTGTCTGAAATTAGGCTTGAACTCAGTTCTTCCTGATTCCAGGCCCAGTGCTCTGTGAATTATACTTCAAGTATTAAAGACCAAGTCTCCACCTAAGATTACTGATGCAAGTATCATTTATACCCTTCACTAAGTCTGGATATTACCTGAATATCCAAACGATAATGCAACATATGTTTAATACACATATTTGTATACATCTGAATATCTGCTGGCGATTGTATCTCCTGTGCTATGAGCCTATTGGATCCTAGACTCCAAAAGCAAGAATGTAATAAGCGCTAAAAATATGGAAATTCTTATCTTAAAAAATGCTTGCATAGAGTTATACTTACTTTTTAAGAACATATGCCAACAATTTTAAAAACCAGAATGCAGAGAACAAACATTTTCCAACTTACAGTTCCCAAAGCAGTTTCCATAGTAGTATAATACACAAGGGTCTTGGACACTTCTTATTGCAATGACAGTCTTGCTACAAATGCTATGAAATGTTCTTACTTAAAAGAGTTAGCAGAGAAAGGAAGCAAACATTTTAATAAAACAAAAGCATCTTGTAAATAATGCAACCAATCCTGTAACTAGCACCTGAGCTTCTGAAAACATTGGTTTCTTACGCTAGTGCCCCTAATCCCATACTTATTATGCAACACAGGGTCTATTTCACTGTATCCTTAATTGTTAGGAGAAAAATATTCCATGGCTACAACCAAATCACTCAAGGGAAAATGTAATCTGACAAATTTGAGTCTGGGTTAGAATATAATTTGGCTTATAAAGACAGAGACCATCCACTGAATCACACAACCAAAAGGCACCTTAAAGATCTTCAAGCCTGGTCCCCTTATTTTATAGATAAAAATAATAACACACATACTTAGATTACTCCTTAAGCTTCAAAAATGTCCTCCTTGCAACAATCCCGTTGACTTCTTGATTCTCCTAACTGTCCAAATGCGCATTACTTTCCTTTAAAGCTAAGTCAGCATTTATAGAGCACTTTAAGGTTTGCTGTTGTTCAGTCATCAGCTATATACCATGTTATTTCTTTTACTGTTATTCATAGCAATCATGAATTGTTACATATATATAATTTGTTGTTGTTCAGTCGTTTTTCAGTTGTGTCTGACTCTTCATGCCCCTTCTGGGGTTTTCTTAGCAAAGTTACTAGAGTAGTTTGCCATTCCTTCTCCAGGTCATTTTACAGATGAGGAAACTGAGGCAAACAGGGTTAAGTGACTTGCCCAGGGTCACACGGCTAGTAAGTGTCTGAAGCCAGATTTGAAGTCGGGAAGATAAGTCTTGCTGACTCTAGCCACAGCACTCTATCCACAGTACCACTTAGCTGCCACTTTAAGGTTTACGAAGCACCTTACACATATCTGTTTCGATCCTTGCAATAAACCATGGGAGGTTACATTTTACAAATAAGAAAACTGAGGTATGGCAGGGTTAAGTAAAGACTTGCCTAAGGTCATACAGCTACTAAAAAGCCTGAGGCAGGATTAGAACTCAAGTCTTCCTACAGTCTATGTACCTACCTAGCTGCCTGGATCACCATTCTCCCTCCCATTGTGACAATATCCCAGAAAACTTTGTCCAGGGCTTTCTTCACTATATGCTCCCTTGGTGCTCTCATTAGCTCCCATCAATTACCTCTATGCACCAGCTCTAAATTCATATGCCCTTCTCCTTTCCTTTCCTCCTCCAAACTTTCCCATTTCTGTTGGGTGGGATGGGAGTAATCATCTTATTCAGTCACCCAGGTTTACATCCTTGGAGTCAACTTCAACTTTTTCCCCATTTTTATTCCTCACATCCAATCAATTGTCAACTAACTGATTCCATCCCTAAAACATTGCTCGCATGGCTCTCCTTTTCTGTACTCACACAGCCTCTACTCTAATTCAGGCCTTTATCACCTCTTACCTGTACTATTGTAAAAACTTGCTACTTTGAGTCTTCCTGATTCCAGACTCTTACTCCATCTTTCATAGCTGCCAAATTGATTTTTTTCTTTGGGGGAGGAAACGGGGGAGAGAAGGCAGGGGGGTGGACACAAAGCAATCAGGATTAAGTGACTTGCCCAGCTAGACTCACACAGCTAGTAAGAGTCTGAGGCCAGGAATCAGGTCATCCTGACTCCAAGGCCAGTGCTCTATCCACTGGGCCACCTAGCTGACCCAAATTTATTCTATTAAAACACAGTTCTGACCATGTCACATTTCTTGCACTGCCTTTCTCTCCCCTCCAAAACCAACACCACCAACAAAACCCTGGCTCCCTATTACCTCTAGAATAAAGCCTTCCCCAAGTCTAGATCATATATTCTTTCCTGTTTTATTTCATATTGTTCCCTTGGACACACTCTCCATCCTAGTCAAACTGGCCTGCTAACTATTCACCACAAAGAGAACAGTCCATTTGCCACCCCTTTCCTTTTGCACAATTGGCCTCCTATACACTCCCAGTGAATAATACCAGACATCTTTCAAAGAACAGCTCAAGTGCCATTTCCTATATTAGCCCTTCCCTGAAATATAAGCATTCTCTCTTTGAAATTATTTTGAATTCACACACAGAAACACACACCCTATCTTTAAGGAGTTTACAATCTACTGGGTGACTTTTTGCTTTTAGATACGAACAGTATCTTTAATATCACTAAATACTTAAATGTTTACTGAACTGAACTGAACCCAGTGAGGGAGGTGATCTAATCATTATAAACCCCATTTTACAGATTTAAAAAAGTAAGGCTTCAAAGAAATGAAGCAATTTGTTCATGATCACATATATAACCCAAAACAAAATCTTCTAACTCTTTAATACAGCCATCTTTCCATTTTAAAGAAATGAGGTCAATGTGGTGGAAACAAAGTCATTAAAATTTTAAGCTTAGCATGATTTACAAAATCTGCCTGTAACAAAATTTGCTAAAGAAACTTCAACTGATCCCCAATCTTACTAATAAGGTTATACTCTCTCTGTGAAGATGGCAATCCACCCATTCTTTCTCATCTTGTGTGACTTGTGTCCCTCTTCTCCAATTAGGTCTCTGTGAAGGACCCACAGAGCCTTCATCTCCCAAACATATATATTTTCTTGGATAATATTCTTTATGCCATTGCTTGAATATAGGCCATTATTGGATACATGCTGCAGCCCACTTACACTCATCACTTATTTCTATTTTGCTCTTTGGGTTGCCTGCGATTTTGACTCTGCCAAAACTGTAGTGTTCCACAATTCACAGAATTACTAGGAGAAAAGTGGTGTTAAAAATCTGTGTTTGTGGCAGGGAGCAACACCTTTGGGATCATGGAATGCACTATGCCAGGCCTGCACAACATATGGCCTGTGGGCTGCTTGTGGCCCACCAAAGGATTTCAGGCAGCCCACAAAAAATGTAGAGGACGTAAAAGAAAATAAAGATGTGATGAGTGCTTTGTCCATGCCCTGCTTAACCCACCTTCCACTAGTCACTACTGTGTCCATCATGGAACTTGGTGAGTGGGTTGCTACCGCATACTCTCTCGTTTGTCACGTGACTCAGGGCAACCAAACATCATCAGTTTGTCTCTAGTCTAAGAGAAGCAATTTCATGATAAATAAAAATCTTCAGTAATAAGTGTAATAAATTGATATTAACTGAAATTTCCCCCTTTTTAAAACATAGTTTATTTGCAAAATAGTTTAATCATTAATTATATCTTTACTCGGAAAGTCTGCAGTCTGAAGAAGTTTAGCCTGTTTTAATTTTGGCCCCTACCTACTGCCAAGTTGTTCAGATCTGTACTATGTGATGTCCTAAA